CAGTGACCCTCCCTTTCTGGAGGGAGCAGGAGTGGAAGAAAAGTGTTATCTTTAGCTCTTCTTCAAATATGCATGATGTTCCTGCTGCAGAGAAGCAAGGCTACTAAGACTTCATCTGATATTTCTGCTACTGGGAGAAGAGATGAGGTTGGAAGCAGTTGTGGCTGTTAGGTTCCTATGGGAACAGATAGGATATGCAAGGGCTTGAGTTCTCAAATCTAAGGGGATTTGTCAAGAAAGGTGGGGAAAAGATTGCATCTTTGATTGGAATGGGAAACAAGTATAATGCATCCTCCTCCCCTTAACCGTAGTATTTCTCAGCTGAACAGATAGGATTTCATGCAGTGTCCCCCAGGCTGCCTCGCTGCTCGTGGCCGCAGAGTTGATGACAAGGTGGACAACGAGATGCACGAGCCTGCTGTCCTAGGTCAGCAGCTCAGTGCCCTTAGCACGTGGGGGGCAGCAGGAAGGCTGCACGTTTCTGCTTGGTGGGAGCTCAGGCACCCCACGTAGGAGTGGTGCTTGGGAAGCAAGGTTAGCAACCTGATCTGAACGAATGTTCCAGATGAAATACTTCTGATTCAACTTCTACCTCCCAGTTAAAGCAGAGCTCACGTTCAGGGCAGAGATGGCTGTTTGGTGTCCACTGTACTGAGCTGCTGCCTACTGTTCAAAATGCAGGACTTTGCCATGCTCCTGTCCCTGCTCATGCTATTTTTCAGCTCAGTTCAGTGCAAGACGTGCACCTGCCTGGGGGCAGTGCCTTCCTGGCTCCTGCTCAGCACCAGTGGCTCTTTTAGAGAGAGAATTTGGTGGCTTTTGCAGTTTGTCAAGGTAGCTGAAGGCTCAGGGAAAGAAGGTGTTTGGATATTAAAATGGATCCTTTCATGTGAGTAAAACCCATCATTTTGCACTTATAAAGTCCACTTTGATGTTGCTTTCACACATGCATAATTTTTGAGCTGCACATCCTGTTTCTTTGACCTGTAGTGAAGACAACACGATTTGGCCCATGAGCAAAGGCAGTGGCGTGGCTCACACCTGGCTCTCAGCTGCAGAGGAGTGCAGGGGTGTTTGCTCCTCTGTGCTCAATGGGAACGCTATCATTTCCTTGTAGTCCTTATGCTTTATGTTTTACCCGTACCATAAAATGCAATTTGAGTTATGTGTACAGAAAAGCTTTTGAGTGGTTCGTTTAAAGGATGGCTCTGTCTTCTCTGCAGCCTTATGCTAAGGGCACCTACTGAAGACTTGGAGCTGTTTAAAGAACGTGACTTCAGCTTCCGGGTGGAGGGAGGAAAAACTCACCCAAAAATACTGTTCTTAACTTTGCAACAATCAGCAGCAAATCTCGTCAGATTGCCCTGAAACTGGCATGTCCTGAAGCTGGATAGGAAAACTGGAGGTGGCTGTGTGCTTGTGGCACCTGCTCTGGTGTCTGGCAGGAATGGATGGCACAGGGGTCACCGCAGCCCTGCTGGCAGCGTGAGCAGAACTTGATGCCTGGGTGCTGTGTTAAGGTGGCTGGCTGTGCTGACTCAGTCATTGACTTCTTTCCTTCTCTCCTCCTGTCTGACGTTTTATTTCTGGATTCTTTGACTTCTGTCCTGAGAACATTACTGTTTTCTAACTCTATCCAACCAATGGTATTGGAAGGTTTATCCTATAACCTAACACGCCTTAGAAACCAAATCTCCTGCTTCTTTCCTACATGGAAATGCATACACTTCCTATTTTCTTCTGTTGGTTCTCTCCCTGGGTAATTAGGGGAAAGAATGGGAGTACTAGGGGTGAGGAAGGAGAGGGGAGAAGATGTGTAGCTGTCCGTATTGCAAACGGATGTGCTGGTGTGGGAAGGTGCTGGGGTCATTCTGGTGCCCTTTATATACTTCTTTCCTTCTCCAGATTAACTTCACTCTGGTGGCTGGAACATCCTTACAGTTTCAGTGGTGCCAGGAGAGATCCCTGAGCTGTCAGTGAATTACTTATGGCATCATTCTACCAGTAGTTTTGTTCCAGAGCGATCATTCTGGACTACTGTTGTGACTCTCTCAACTGACTGTTTTGTATGTTGTGCATCCTGAGATGTACAAAATAACTGGGTGTTCATATGAATAGTGATGCTAATATGTACGAATGAGTTGTTGATTCTCTTGCTTCCAACCATAAACTGATCACTAACTGGTTCTGATGATGATTTCCCCATGCAGTGAAGTTACTACAATATTTTGCAGTGTTACTACAATTGTCAAAGAAAGAAAGGAGTGTGGAAAACTGAGCTGCCTGATAGCTCCCTGCAGCTAAACAGAGGGAAGAGACCGAAGAGAAGCAAGCATGTTCTCCTGAGGTCACCACAGCTTGGCAGCCCGATGCCAGAAGCCCGGGTACTGGACTGGAGGAAGGAACATGAGGAGCTGTGAGAAGATACCCGGCGTCCAGCTGCAGTTGTCCTGTGATCTGTTGGTGAGTGCTGAGGAGATCCCTCGTTCAGAGTTTGTGATTACAGTCCTATTTTGGGAAAAGAATTGGAGCCATCTGACAAGATGATGATCTTCTGCAGTTGTTGTGCTGTCATACACACACATCTCAGATTGAGACAAAGCTGCCGTGGTTTGCCAGTGCTGTGGGCTAGGCTTGGTGGTCTCTGAGGTCTGTGCAGAGTTTAAGTTGAGCAAAATGTTTCTGCAAGAATGCAGGCGTAACTCCTGTAATTACTGTGCAGAAAGTCTGGAAATGCTTTCCCACGTTGCCCAGAAAAGAAACTTGGCCTGATTGTTTGCCTGCATTCAGAATTTAAGTGCAGAAATTGAAGAACGAAGTAACACAGGATTATGTGATGCAGGAGATTTCAGACCTGAGCTAGGCTTTTGTCTGATACTTAGGTGCTTCATTATGTATTAATCACTTGTGTTAACTGCCACATGATCCTGTTTTGAGGCCTTCGAGCTCTCGTCAAGGATGAGGATCTGAATCATGTGCTGTAACTGGAAAAGGTGAATTAAAAAAGCTTTTTTTGTTTTTTTTTCTTCCAAGCTCCGAAAACTCACTTTCAACAAAGGTGAAAGTTGCCAAACCACAGGTCTTGTGTTCACGTTCTATTCCAAGATGATTGCATTCCCACCAAGGCACTAAATTCTGATGCCCAGCTGAAAAGCTTGAAATGAGTGAACACTTCACAGTTAATTGTACTGTAGTTAAAGGAGAGGGAAAGAAAGTCCACACTTAAATAAATTCTGCAGAAGACATTGCCACAAAGGCACTAAATTTAATTACAGGGATAATGATACATTGCCTACAGCAGGAGAGGAAAAAGTGTTTTCTTGTCTAATGGTCTAAATCTGTCTTTTTCTGTCTTGGCTCAGAGCCGATCACTTGTCCTGGAATATATCTGAATAAACAGCTTTTTTTTTTCCCCCCTTATAATCCTGTTTGGGTTATAAATTGGAGTGTGAAGACTCATTTAGCATTTGGAATTATCATCTGCCAGACTACAAGAAAGGGTCTTCTTGCAGAAATCAATCTGAGAATGCGTCCTTTTTCAGAGAGCTGCTAAGGTCATGGCCCTGCCCGTTCTGTGGGGATGAACCCCTCTCTTCTGGTAAGTTCTGCAGGAAGATTGGGGATCAATTTCTGTCCTTTATCATTGATAGAGAAGTGAAGTTGCTGCTTCCCTTTGTTTTGCTAAAACAGCTGATTTACTGATGTTTTGAGGATGACCTTGCTGATTTTCTTCAGGGAAGATGACATTTTCCTTGCTGAATTGTGACCTGGACCCCAGTGAGAGCTTTAGGATGAGCACGTTATTGAAAAAGAGCAACACAGCGGAGCCAACTGTGGCCTTGGGATGTGTTTTTTCAGCAGGCTGTGTAGCTGCGTGCCAGGCCAGCTGTGCAGTCTGACATCTCTTCGTGTTGTTTGCTCACAGATAAGGTGGCCAATCTCGTTCCTTTCTCTTTTGCAGTTCACTGGCCCCAGACTGATGACATTTAGATGAAGCATGTAACTAAATTCTATCTGCTTCTCTCTGGCAGGGAGAAGATAACCTAGCTTCCTTCCCGGTCCCTCTTTTGTGATCTCTGATCCCTTTCATCTTATTTCCATGCTTCTCTATATTTTAGTAACCTTGCTTTTGATTTATGTTCTGACGAGCGTCCTGCTGCTTTTATGTACCTCCTACAGTAGTCCAAAGTCTGCAGCACCAGGGTTGGTGCCCTCCTATGCGTGGCTGGCGTATGCTTCCTGTGCTGTATTAGCGTGGGGAAGAATTATTTCTGATTCCTTTTGTTATTAGCCACAATTGTAGTCCTTGTTGAGCAGTTCATGTCTGTACAACTGCTTGAAGCCAAAGAATGTTCTGTCAGAGTATTCCTGCTGCAGCTCCCCTCGAATGAAATAGCTCACGGCGTGATGTTCTTCCGGGTGCAAGGAGAGTCAATTGGGAAGTGCTCTGGCAGTGGATTTATGCAAGAGCTGCATGAAGTAGAGCAGAGAGGTGCAGATGGATGATATGTGAAGAAGACAGACATCTGAAAAACATTGGAGCACTAATTTGGCACATCCTGAGCAAATATGAGATCCCCTCTCTGAAGGCAGGACTAGGTGGCTGTGCTGCCTGCAGCACTGAGCTGTCAGTTTTGGGGAGCAGAGGAGGAGATGGTAGTGAGCTGTTCCAAATCCAGGGTCCGTAGTGATGGATTAATTGTCAAATGAACCAGGAATGTTCTGCTATTCCCAAATTGTTTGGCTCTTTCCTGTGGAATAGAAATATCAGTATATAGAAGCTAGCATGACTTTACCACTTTTTTTTTTTTGTTTGTAACCTGCAGATAAAAAGGGACAGAAGAAGTCTACGTAAGCTCTGTGGCAATGGGAACCATAGAATCACAGAATGGTTGGGTTGGAAGGGGCCTTAAAAGCCATCCTGGCACAGCCCCTGCTGTGGGCTAGTTGTCCCCATGCTGCCCAGGGCCCCATCCAGCGTGGCCTTGGGCATCTCTGGGAATGGAGCACCAACAGCTTCTACAGTTGGTCTTCTGGGCTGTACATGGGCACTGCTGGCTCACATCCACTGTTCTGTCCACCAGGACCCCCATGTCCTTCTCTGCAGAGCTGCTCTCACATTCTTCTTCTTCCAGTCTGCACACACATCTGGCATTGCCCCAACCCAAATGCAGCATTTCACACCTGGCCTTGTTGAACCTTGTTAAGTTCCCATGGGCCCACATGGAACTGAGTTGTCTCATTGAATAGCAGGCATGATTTCTGTGCTTCTCCTCTGACTGTCACTGGGAAGGGGACACTGGTGAGGCCAGGGTGTCAGCACTGTGGGGCTGCCAGAAGGGCCCAGTCATTGGGGCTGGGCTTTAGCAGCAGATCTGTTGGAGGCTCTATCTGAAAAGGGTTTTTAGCTCTGGGTTCTGGAAAGTACGCATAAAGATATGTGCATGCATCTGTTAAATATGACTTGGTTATGACTTAAATGTAACACAAGATCAGAGAAACCTGGGCTTGATTCACCCTTGCTTACATAAGCAAAATGGAAATAGACTTACTGCCTTCTCAGACACACATCCAAAGCTGAGATTCAAGAGGAGTTCAGCTACTTGAGCACGGCAGGATTCAGTGCCAGCTTTGTTGTGTCATTCTGTGTCATTGGGGAAACACTGGGAAGCCAAGTTTTTAGAACAGAGAGGAAGCTGTTGGTCTGGTTGGGCACAGAACTGTGGGACCCGCACTGTTGTTGCTTTCTCCTGCCTCTTGCATGTGGCTTTGACATCTTTATCTACATTACCAGCTGGAGGAAGTGGCTGCAGGGAAACTGCATCGCTTTCATTTCCCCTGAGCCTGAAAGTGGGGCTTCATTTCCTAAACCAGGAGAGAGCTGGAGCTGTGTGCTGTGATCGGCACAGCACTCCACAGTGATTTCCTTCAGGTTCCTGATGGACAAAGCCTTTGGGGCTAGAGAGCAGCTGTAAGCAGCTGGAAGGAGGAGCCCTGTTGGGGTACTCCAGGGCATCTTAGCAACAAAAACGTGGAGAAAGAGATGGAGAGCTGCAAAGCAGTGCAATTAAGGGAAACCACAGTAAATGTGCAGACTGAAAAAGGAAAAGGAGCAAGAGAATGACAGCATAATGGGGGAGTGGGTTGCCAGAAGAGAGAAATGCATAAAATCTGCAGACAAGAGAGGCTTTCAGCAGGCAGTGTGGTTATGTATGTGAACAGGGCTGCTGCTGCCTCTGGGGCTGGGGGCCAAGCTGTGGGGTCTGCGAGGTGCTGGGAGCTGGGATCCTGCATGCTGTGCCCTGCAGGCCGTTATTTATAGCAGCAGGAAAAGTTTGCTCAAGCTGTCATTTGTGTGAGCTGCAGTCTAGCTCTCTCTCTCCCTCCCGCTCTTGCTTTCTTCAGATTTTCACTGTAATTAGCACGCTTTACATGAGCCAGGTCAGGGCTGGCAGCTTTCTTTAGAAGTCTGTGTTCTCCAGGCAGGAATAAGGAAATGTTTTTTTCTTCTGGGAATACTGAACCTGATCCTTTGTTTTATTTCAAGGATTATTCTCATGCACTGAGATGGTGGCCGTGCGGAGGGAGGAGCAGAAGCACAGATTCCCTCTGAAGTTGCAGTGACAGAAGCCTGTGTCTGAAAATGCAGTCAGGCTTTCAAGGTTCCCTTTGAGCTTTGATGCAATAGAAAAATCTTCTAGGGATTCTCATCCATGCTGATAGGGGCTGGCTGGGGATGAGAACAGCCTGTTAGTCAGTGTAAAGCTGTTCTGCTGTCACTTACCTCAAAAGCCTGTTTCCTTTAGCATCCGAAAAGCTTCCTTTTGAGCACGCCCAGCAATGGACTGAGAAGAGCAGAGGGTCAGTATTTGGACATGGACAGTCAGTAGCTGTGTTATCTATATCTGTGATGGGATATAGCTGCTATTATTCAAGGGAAGGAGATTTACAAGCTGTAATACACAATTCTGGTATGGGATTTTAGGAAATACAATGCATTTGTGCTTGCAGGATGTATGTTAAAGGTGCTGTGCTGACCCTTATGTTGGTAACAATGCTCAGCAGCACAGGTAACATCTTGCCAGAGAGAGCTCATTCATTTGGAGCTTGATCATTAGTCTGTTAATGTTCCAGGGTGAACATTCAAAGGAAACTGAATCTGTTTGTGATATGAGCACATGGCCTGGCTTGGCACCAAGGGGAGCCTGCCTCTGGTCCTCTGGGTGCTAGGGATGGATTACATTTCATGGGATCCTGTTGGAAAAAATGGACTCATGGTTTTGGTAGCTGTTGATATTATTTGTGTGAAGCCAGAGTTATATGGAGGTGATATGGAGGAATGATTGAGCTAGCTCAATAGAGAGCTAGCTTTTTTGCAAAACTTTTATTGAATGTGTTTGCAAGAATAACTGATGTTTCTGCTCACAATGTATGCCAAGTGTAGATTAATGCTCAGTGAAGGCTCTGAGAAATCCAGAATTGGGCAAGAAAGAGAAGAGATCAAATTGATAAGAGTACAAGACATGCTCTGTGTAGAAAGAAGCTATTGGAAGGTGAGAACCTGGGAAGGATGAATCCTGGGATGGTTTGGGGCAGAACGGGAGCGGTCAGACCTGCATTTGCAATGAAACACAGAGGGTATTTTTCAAGGAACTTGTCATAGCACATGAGATTTCTCCCTTTTTAAAGCACTACGGCAGAATAACGGCTCCCTTGAATAGCGTGTTGGGGTCTATTCCCTGGGAATTTCATCCAAGCTCTGGGATAAAAAGGATTGGGCAGCTTGAGAGACTGGTAGAAGGGAAGGACTTGTAGGATATCATGGTTCTGGAGTCACTCGTGAAAGCACAGTGAGGTAGGCTAACAGCTTTCCTGGGGCCATTAGTGAGAGTAGAGGAGAAAGCCTGCGGAAGGGCAATGTGCTGAGAGTTGTAAGAAGCAGACCTTAGTGATGAATGACAGGGAGGAGCAGTGACAGCTCAATTGTTTGAGTCACTTCCAACAGCCAGAGGAGGACTCCAAAGTTCAGATCTCACCCTGCGTGGCTTAAGGCGTGGATAGAACACTCACACCTTCAGATGCTCAGCAGCCTTGCTCAGGGGCCTGGTGCTGCCCTGCTGCTTTTGGGGAGGGCAGCAGGACGCGGTGCTGACCACGCTGTTTTTGTGTTTGGCACTGATCTTCCTTTCTCCCACTTCTTTCACTTTTCTCTCATTTTGGCAGTGGTGGTCCATTCAGCTCCGGTAGAATGACTGGTGGCTTTCCCTGGAATGTGAGTCATCCTCTAGGGAATTCCTGAAGCAGTGAGTCAGGTTATTGGGAAAACTTTGCCCACTAGCGTGAAATAGGAAGCTAGAGTGCCTGTGGTATCGTAGAAAGGCAATCCTTTTCAGTGTGGCTGGAGTTGTCCTTCCTTCCCAAAGACAGTCACTTCAAGATGAGCTGCAGCAGGGAAACGTCACTGAATTTATTTATTTTCACCTTGAAACATGCTGCTCCTGATTTTTCCTCCAATTTTAGAAGGTGGCTGGTCTGATAAATGTTCTAGATGAATGGAAGATATGAATTTGTCAGGATTTTAGTGAAAAATAGCTTGGTTAAAGCAACAAGGCTGGCAGATAGACATCACTCAATTGCACCTGATATATCCCTTTGCCATTCACCACTTCACCTCACTGTGGCTGAATTAACCCAGCTCTGGTTGTTTTTCCAATGTGCAAATTAATAGGTGTGTCCTTTGCAGCCACGAATTAACGAATTCTGAATACAGCCATGGCAACAGAACCCAAAGAACTTCAGTCCTCAATGTTGGTTGGCTCCAGGAAAAATTAACTATTGTAATTTATATGCTGGCATGGTTTGGCCATGGTTGTGCTTGCTTTGCCTGCAGATGCCAGATTTGGGGTGCCTGGCCTTTCAGCAGACCTGTGTCGGCTCTTCCTAGCAATAACTTCCAGCAATCTTTTCTTCCCCATTGAAGCCAAGCTTTTCTCGTCGCTGGTTGCTTGCTATTAAACATTAGTAGGCTTTATTACTCTGTAGAACAGTGAGTTCTATTTGAAATACAAAATTAGTTTCACTTTTCAATACTTTTTTTTTCCCCCTAGCAACTTGGTCATTATTTTTGCTCAAGCTTGGAATCGCAGAAAGCTCAGATTGTGGGCTTTGCTAGCACAGATGTAGGTGGTTGCAGATATGTCGCCATTGATGCACCAATTGGGTGTTGTTTTTAACTCAATGTCAGCAGCCTCGGATCGTGCTCTTTCCCCACTCCTAGGCTTTCAGTAGAGTGGCTCATTTTTAGGTAAGGCTGTCTGTTGACTTCTGCCATTTCTTGAGCCCTTATGAAGACTTAATTTTCTGACAGGTCTGAAGTTTGGAGATTAACTGTGTTCCTACTGACGTGATGAGGAAGAACCTTGGTGATACTGGGGCTGTAGGGTGAGGTTGTTCTCGCCTTGTTCTCCCTCGGGGGAGCCTGGGGGCTGTGGTCACAGGAATGGCTCTGAACCAGCACCAGAACTGGAGGGTATGTCTTCCCAAATAGAGGATTTCTTTGCTTTATCTTGAGTTTGAGGATCCCTCATCCTGCTTTTAACTGCTGGTTGTAAAGCTGTGAACACTACTGTGAAAAATAGTGCTTTGTTGGCATTTAAACTGAAAACGGTGAGAGTTGAGAAAATTCTTTGTTTCTACGGAAAAGCATCCACACAGTGGGCACGAAAACACCAAGTACTTGTGCTAATTGTTCCACTGTCTCTATATCTATTTCTCACTAAAAAAATCATTAAGAATATGTGTTCAGGTTGGCCAAGAGTAGCTTTGTTCCTCAAGGCAGGCTGGTGGGGCACTGCCACAGGCTAGTGGGGAGAGTTCTACCTGGTTTTACCCTTGCGTTACTCCATGGCTGTGTGTGGCTCCATGGAAAGGAGGTGGATGGATGCTGCCATGTTTCAGTAGTTGCCATTTTTCTTAAATGTTTCTCTCTTGTGTTGCGGGGAAAAAAAAAAAAAGCCTTGTAGTTCATAGGATCACAGAATCATGAAGGTCGGAAAAGATCTGTAAGATCTGTAAGTCCAACTCATCCCCACTGTGCCACCGACCGTGTTCCTAAGTGCCACATCTCCACACTCCTTGGACACCTCCAGGGATGGCGATTCCACCACCTGCCTGGGCAGCCTGTGCCAATGCAGTACTGTTCTTTCTGAGAAGAATTTTTTCCTCATACCCAACCTGAATCTCCGTGGCCCAGTTTGAGGCCATTACATCCTGTCCACATGCTTGAAAACTCGAACCCTTTGTGTGCTGAGCCCTAAAATATAACCGAGATGTGTTAAAAGTAGCATCCCTTTTGAAAATGTATACGTGTGTTTTTAGATCTCAGTCAATGGCTCTTAGTGCTTTGGATTATCAGTGGTGTTATTTCAGTATTGTGAACCATACACCCTTTGTGGTGAGCTGTGTGTGAAATCACCCTACTGGAAAATGACCGTTCTGGAGCAAACCAGGAATGTGATAACAAATCCTCTGCTCTCATAGGCAGATTGGTCTCCTCATGGGAAAAGAGGGACTGTTTCTTAAATGAAACGGAGCAACCGTCTGATACGAAGCTTTAGAAATTCCGAGGTGTAAATTGCCAGGCTGTGAGGTTGAAGATGGTGCAGGACTGCTGAGAGCAATTTCTACCTGAGCGAGATGTGTCTGGAGTGAGAGCCTAAAAGGAATGATGTGAGCAAGGAATGTGTGCAGCTGGGAAGCATCTTGATGCTTCTGCTGCCCGAGGAAAGGAGCTCTGAAGAAACATTAGGGAGGAAAAAGCACCTGTGTTGGGCCAGATAGCCACTCTGTTCTTGTTCTCAAAATGCTGTGACCAACACCGCTGCATTTCCAAGGATGCAGTCGTGGCAGCACTTATGATGTAAAGTGGTGGGCTGTGCAGGTAAGTGCTTGTCCTGTGGATGGATCTGAGAGATCATCTTATACATTTTGAGTGTTTGTGTCCTGGTCTAACCTAATCACGTTAGTTCTGTACCCGTGTCATTGTCACTGTAGTGTGGTGGCCCTCTGGTGAGGGAGCTGTGTCTGAAGTGTGCCAAGCCCCAGGAGGATCTCCGAACCTTTCCTTTCTCAGACCTTGTGGCTTGGTCTCCTGGCTCTAGCATTGCTTCTCACTTTATTTCCTTCTCCTTGGAAAATAGAGCACAAAGGAGAATCGAAAGCTGCTGCTGCTTGATAGCGCTCATCCTCTTCTGGTGTACCGTGTAGTTTGTCTTCCTGTTCCAACAGGAGCCTCTTCTACCTCTTGTGTGCCTTGTTGTAAGATGCTCTGAGATCTTCCCATCCAGGGAAGGCACTTGTCAAAGGTGCGGATGTTTTTCTTACAGCTGTCCACAGCTTATTCCTGCTGTTCTTTGCTAATGGTTGTTAGGGGTAAGTTGCACAGGGGAGTTGTATGGCAACAGATCTTGTTCATGCTGTATGCTGGGCCCTTCAGGAGGTGCTGGAGAAGAGATGTGCTCCCGTGTGTGCAGACAGCCAACACCTGGTCAATTTTGAAACACTTTGCAAGGATGAAACCACATTGTCCACTTCAATCAGCAAGCAAGGAACAATTCCCAGATTGTGAGAATCCAAGCTCAGGAACTGGAAGAGCTCCCTTGAGGCCTTTGAAAAGGGCTGGCCAAGGACCAGCAAAATTTGTTCCAAGGTCTGATTGATGATTTCCATCAAGTACAGTAAGTGCTTATGGAAAGGCGTGCTCAATGGGAACAAGAGGTTTCTGCAAGCTGCAGGGGTGATGACACAAGCCTGTGTTGCTTATGGGGTGAGCTGCTGGGGCTGGAGGTGCTGCTTTTCCAGCGGAAGGGTTTGCATTTTATGAAGCAGCACGCACTGAAGGATCAGGAGCTGTGTGGTTCATCATGCTGAGTGTCACTTTTGGTCACCTGAAGTTGACAGAAATTGTTATTGTACAATAAAAAATATGATTTGGCACCTGCAAGAAATACAGAGAGCTTCAAGAGCTCCAATAAGTAGGAGAAGGTGAAGAAGCGCTGGCACGCTTACAAGGGACAGAACATGGTTCTGCTGATGTGAGGAGACAGGGAAAGTTGTATGGCAACGTGGGAAGCGCTCACAACTGCAGTCCTGAGCGGCGGCATTCCAGGTCATGTGCCCAGTGGCATCACATCCTGTGCTTCGCAGGACTGGCAAGTGACCCAGGGGAGGCTGAGCAGCACCAGGACGGGTGGTGGAGGTGGGGATGCAGCACTGTGCATCCAGAGGGCTCACAGGAAGCCAGTGTGGGCATGGCTGTGCGAGCCTGGAACCGGCCCTGCTGCTGGGGTCAGTGCGGGTGGGCTGCTGTGGTACAGGACCTGCACACAGCCCTTTTCCTGTGGCTGCGTTCAGCTTGTTCTTGTGTACCTTCGTCTGAGGCGAATGTCAGATGTGATGGGATGTTGGATTAGGCTAAATCTCTGAGATTTAGCTGGAATGTTGTCTCGCTGTAGCGTTTTTCTCCCTTGCTCTTTTCTCTAAGGCTTCCCCTACAGACAGCTAATTCTCCCCTTCCCCCACATCCTGTCGGACCCCAGAGCATGTCACAAGGAATTAGCGGCTGAAAAGGCCAGCGGAGGCTGCTCCTCTGGAACAGGCTCTCCTTTCTGAGCCCGGCCGGCCCCTCTGTGTGCCCGCTTTGTGTCCCGGCCAGCTCCCCTCCCCCTGGCCATTCAATGCATGCCAGAGCTGAGGCTGGGCCCCGGCACCTTCCCAGCGCTGCTGCCCTGTGCCATCTTTCGGGGCCCAGGGGCTTCCCGCAGAGCCAGAGATGTGCCACAGGAGGAGATGAACCTTCCTTCCCGTCTCCGTGCCGCTGGCAGCGTCGCCCGCTTTCACTCCAGCTCCTTCCCACAATTCACATACAATGTCCTTAGAATAGAGATGATGTCACTTCCTTCTAGAGGGTGCCGGGGTGTGGAATGGGGAGTCACGACCCCCCTGGGCTTGGTGGCTCTGGCAGGATAAATGAGGTGGCTGCCCAGGAGGGAGGGAGGAGTTGCTCTGAGAACGATGCCCAGCACTGTGTGCAGGCAGGCGCTGTGCTGTGCTCCCCTTTGCTGGCTGGGATTTTCAGTGACTGCAAGAAGAATTTGCTGCTCCCTCCCTCACTCATGATGCCCGCCTCTGTGGATCTGCACTTTTCCTGCGACACCCTTACGGGAGAGAAGAATACCAAACGGCTAGACCGCAGGCCATGTAAGATTTCTGCTTCCATCCGTCTCACTCTGAGCTGAGAGCAGAGGCTCTGGGCTCCTTGCATGCAGGGCTTGTGCCTGCGTGCGTTTTCCCCCCCTCATTTCAGCACTGGGTCTCCTCGCAGCAGGGTGTAGATTTCAAGGTCTGGGGAATTTTTCACCCTTTGGGGCAATGTTGGGAGCACCACAAGGGATTCTTGGTATTACAGAAGTAGGGTCATTGTTCTCAGGGTTGGCTGCACTCTAGCCTTGCACTTTTCTTCCCCTCTCCCTGCTGGAGTCTGATCTTCATCTTCTGGAAATGTAACTCATGAGTTTATTCGCAGGAGGGAGGGTGACTTTTTACGTGGGCATGTAGTGATGGAACAAGGATAAATGTTTTTTAGTTAAAAAAGGGAGATTCAGGTTGGGTTTGAGGAGGAAATTCTTTACCCAGACGGTGTTGAGGCTCTAACACAGGATGCCCAAAGAAGCTGTGTGTGTCCTATTTCTGGAGGTACTCAAGGCCAGGCTGAATGGTGCCCTGTGCAGCCTGATCTGGTGTGGGGGCAACCAGCCCTCAGCAGGGGTTGGGGATGGGTGGACTTTGAGATCTCTTCCAGCCCTATCATTCTGTGGTTCTATGATCTTTAAGGTCCCTTCCAGCCCAACCCATTATATGTTCTTTGATCTTTAAGGTCCTTTCCAACCCAACTATTACATGGTTCTATGGTCCTGTGATCTGTTGCCCTGGAATGAAGCCAGAATTCTTATAGTGACACCATTGTAGTTTTTTTGTTGTTTAATTTTGTAGGCTTTACAGTCTGAGGCCTTCTGTCATCTCCTTTCTGTTCAAATGGGTGGCAAGGCTTCAGACCTCAATGTTTAGTTTTTGCATAGGCAGTCTTTGGAAGTGAATCATGACTCTTTTTGCAGTGCACGGGTTGCTCAGTTAGCACGCAGTGATGAGTGGCAGCCCTGTGCCCATTTCTTGGTGTTGCAGGGTTGGTGGTGGTGAGACTGGGAATCTCCAGATGGCCAGAGGAGCGAGGAATTTGAAAGCAGAGCTGCAGCGTACCGAGTGCTCTGATTATTTTGTGCTAAGGAAATGCTAATCCAAATAACGTTGTAATTTCACATGTGCCGTGTGTGTGGAATGGAGCGTTTCCTTCACCCAGGTGAAGTACGTGCTGTAGTGTCAGTCTGTTTGCTGTGTAAAGGACTGCCGTTTGCAGGACTCAGGCAGGTTTTCAGTGCTTGGTATGGGAACAGATAGGTAGCACAGCAGGTTTTAGGGTGGTCAGCACAGCAGATAAGGGGAGGGTTACTACCTGTAACTGGTGAATTATTTGGTAGGATGAGGATGCTTCCGTAACTGCAGCACTTGGTGCTGTGACAGACTGGGCTCCATCACAAACCCAGCACCTGTGTTACTTTGAGGGTTCGAATGACCTAAGTGTGATCTTGTGATTCGTCCTGGTTTTTACACCTAGAGACGTGTGCAAGTTGAGTTTTTGGTGTGGTTTGTGAGGCGTGTGGTGGCTGTGGGCAAACAGGCCTTAGATAAGATAAAGGAAATCAGAAGTTGACAAAACCTCTGCAGATGAGGGTTGAAGTGTGTTGTGCCAGAAATGCAGAAGGGAGATAAGGTGCACTGCAGGGATGCACAGAGCTGGTCTGACCCCAGAGACTCGGGCTGGAGCAGATTGGAGCACGCACAGCAGCTCTGAAACAGTGTGGGAAAGCTGTGCTGGAGGAGGTAGCTGGGTAGCCCTGCAGTCTTGTGACTTCTACCAGTGCTGTTTCTTTTTTTAAAAAGGATTTGTGTAGCATTAGAAACAGGAGCACAAACAAAACGTGGGGAAGAACAGCCAGCCCCTCAATCTTCAACCTTTTTTAATTGTCAGGGCCAGTGTGAGCACAAAGGAGATGTGGAGCTGGCAGGATTCTTCTGCGCAACTTGTGGCTAAGTGAGAGATCACCTGGGAGTTTGCTCCCTCGGCTGTAAGTGCTTTCTGCTGGGAGCCAGTCAATAGCTTCCCCAGACGCTGCTAACTGCTAATGGGGATTTGGCTTGCTGAGCCTCGTGGGGACTGTCAGTGCTGGACATGAGAAGCGGATGGCAGCAGGCATGCCTTTGGAAGGACGTGGTAACAGGACTTTTTTGGGGACTGAGACCGCTGTAACTTGTCCAAAGCAGCTGACCTGTTTCTGACACGTGGTCCTAACAGGATTCCTGTTAATCTCGAGAAGTGGAGCTGAGTGAGTGGCAGTTGTGTGTGGCGAGTTACATACCTGCTTCACCCAACACTTGTCTCTCTTCAGACAGCACCTTCCTCTCCTGCACTCTCCTTTTCGAGCGTGCCATGCCTCCCATTGCTGGGAGGAGGAAGCTCTGCCATCTTGGGTGTCAAGTAGGTTAGCTCAGATGTAGGCCTTCTGCTGACCTGTGGCTGTGGGGCTCTGTCGCAGGGGTGAGGAAGGTTAACAGTGTCTTTGCTTCTTTTCTCTTCTAGGAGGTGAGCATCGTGCCTGCTGACCTTTCTCAGACCCGCTAGCCATGCCAGGGATTGTCGTGTTCCGCCGTCGCTGGTCTGTGGGCAGCGATGACCTCGTTTTGCCAGCAGTCTTCCTCTTCCTCCTGCATACCACCTGGTAAGTGAGAAAGGCAGGGTGATGCTTTGAATTCCTCCATGAAATTCGTGCTGATTCTGCTTCTTGTAGCTGTAATTCTTGTGCTTACATATGCAGCTAAAAGGCTTGTATGGGCATTTTCGACAGCCACCAGCGTATTTCCAGCTTCTGGTTGTTTGCATAAGTGCTCTTCTAAGCTCAGTTTCCAAAGAGGAAGCCTGGCCCGATCTCCTTGTATCCTCTGGTGCTACCCAGGGTTGGAGTTTGGGCTGTGTTGCTGTACAGGGCTCAGGAAAAAGCAGTTGAAATAACAAATTCTGGGCATCCTAATCTAGTAAGTGGCAATCAGCCCACGGCAGGGGGTTGAGACTGGATGGGCTGTAAGATCCCTTCTAATGCAAGCCATTCTATGAGTATATGATCCCATGGGATATGTGACTTGGCATCTCTGTGCGTGTCAGGTTTGTGATCCTCTCCGTGGTGCTCTTTGGGCTGGTGTACAACCCCAATGAGACCTGCTCGCTGAACCTGGTGGACCATGGCAGAGGCTACCTAGGCATCCTGCTCAGCTGTATGATCGCAGAGATGGCAATCATCTGGCTCAGCATGCGAGGCAGCATCCTGTACACTGAGCCCCGAGACTCCATGCAGTATGTGCTCTATGTCAGACTGGGTAAGATGCAGCGGCCTGAGGCCTCCTAATGACTCAGCCTCCACACTGCCATCTGCTAGCGCAGAAGACTTCTCTCCCCACACCCTGACAAACACAGCTTCTCAAAGACATCCAGATGGCCACTTGTATGTGATATGCATCTGAATACATCACATATACTGCACCCTGCCATTGCTCTAAGACTCTCATGCAGCGCCCCAAATATCTTTCTAGCAAACCTTTAACTTGTCATCCTTGTTGTGATGCAGGTACATCCTTTTCATCTAACAAAATATGCTCTCCTTCTGTCTTGCAGCTCAGATTTGCCACGGTGAGATGCATCTACACCTCTCTCCCACTCTTTTTTTCAACAAGTTTTCCTATGATACAGGCATATGCCTTTGTAAATCATGGCTGTTCTCACCCTGAGGCCATGTGCATGTCCTTTGCCTGACATACATATACTTAAATCTGCATCCACTTACCTTGAAGCGTGCTTGACCTTTTGACTCACGCATAATGCATCTCTCCATCCTGCAATGTGAGTTCTGATACTCTGCCTCCAGGAGCTGGGAGGTAAATAGGTTTGCCACCTGCTCGCTGGTTGCATCTTCTCTCTGAAAGTGCATATGTTTTTTCTTCCTAAAAACATTTCCTGTTTTTCTCATCTGCCAAAAACTAGGTTGGAAAAGAGACTGTTTCTCAGTCCATCAGTCAGGGATTCCATTTTAGCTTGTCGTCCCTCGCCTGGTCTGTTCTCTTCCAGATTCAGAAACTTGATCAGATTTTTCTGTGCTGGGTGAAGACTTTAAGAGAATCTTTCAGAGATAGAATCAACAATTCCATTCCAACAAAGCATACCATGTTTTTGCTGGATTGTTTTCATGCAAAATTTGCTAAAAGATGGGTAACTTTGCTTGAAAACTCTATCTGGGAGACATTTCCACCTTGGAGTGCTAAAAGCAAATCACTAACATGAATAGCAAACAAGTCTTTCTCTCCAGCTTCCCAGGCACAATGTGATCTCCCTGACAGCTTCAGTAACACTGTTAAAAACAGACTAAATGAGGCAGGGGAGGTAGAGAGAGTCCGAGGAATCATCCTGTTCTCTTCCCTCTGTTTAAGATTTGTATTTAAATTGTAACCTGGGTCTTGTACATGTTTATTTCATGGTTGGTTTTTTTTTCTTTTTTTCTTTACTCTTTAATGGCTCTGGTGATTGAATTAGGGGTGTGACCTTTTTGTGGGCATGGTCCATGTGATAGCCTGATTTCGACAGAGCACATTTAGTGCTTATGAGTCTAAGGTCACAGTTGCAATGGTAGCCCACAAAGGTCTTCTCGATGGTATTGCTGCTCCTGTTCCACATCTGATAGCCTCAGAGGGGAGGTTAGCTAAGGTAGGCAAGCCTAGTGCAGCTCAGCTTCAGAACACTTGAGGAGCTGGGTCCAGCCCTGAGTTCTTTCTCACTGGGTGGCTGCTCAGTTTTCTAGGCTGGGCTCCACCAAAGGCTTGCTATGTGCTACATGCAGGCTGTTTACCTCTGTCTCATTCCCCATCTGTACTTTAGGGTCATACTGTGTAGAGAAGGTGAGGATGGGCACTTCGGAGTGGTGTTTTCCAACTTTTTTCTTTAGACGTAGTCAGGTGTAATTTCTTGCTCTCTATCAGGGTAAGATGCAGAACTGAGGAGCCAGTAAGGGCTTCCTTAAAGGCTGCATGTTGGGAATTATTGCTGCAAAAGCTGCAAAGGTCAGAGGTGATGGAAACATTTGTTAAGTGTAGTAAGTAGACTTATTCCTGGGTACACACTGCTATTTATTGTGTATCTTTGAATTAGGCCAGCTTTACTGTGATGGTGATTCTCTTTACCTAAGGAAGTCTTTCCACTGTCGTGCAAGAAGGGACAGCTGTTTGACTGACTCCTCTAATGCAGCCAGGAGCACTTCTAGCTCTGTGTACATGGTCTGTGTGTCACTTAGGAGAAGTTATTGATAAGGAGACATGTTGGGCCCATTTTCTTGAATATGGGCCCATTCTTGTGGCCTTTTATTCCTTGCAAGAAGATAGAGAAGGGCAGTCACTGATCCTTAGGGAGATGCTGCTACTATTCATTGTGTTCCTTTTGTTTCAGCTATCTTGGTGATTGAGTTTGTGTATGCTATTGTGGGCATCATTTGGCTAACGCAGTACTACGCTTCCTGCAATGATATCACCGCAAAGAGTGTCACTTTGGGTATGTATTTGGAACGTGTAGCACAGACATCTCTTGCCTTGGAGAGCTAATTCACTCATGCATGTGGGGATTGACTGTTGGTAGTGAATTGTAGCTGTAAATGCTCTGCTTGTTTCCCTCAAGAATCCAGTGCTCAGAACAGTTGTTCTATTCATTTGCTTGTGCTGCCTGCACTGAGGCAAGAATCCCTGTTCCCATGGAGGGGTCTGGCATGGGGAGTCTGAAAGCCCTGGTTCTCCTTCTGTTCAGAATGGCTTTCCTGTTTTTCTCAAATGGCTTTTGAGAACCCAACCATTCTCCTGGGGGGAGTGATGGGAATGCTGCAGCCCACTGGGTCTTCAGTGAGTCTTTAATGGTCTTCTGCACGAGCGGTCTCCCTGTGGCTGCATAATCTAGCCGTGGTCAGACGCCTTTGCAGGAGATTTCTTTGTGCTGCAGCTGGCTGCAGGAATATTTGGGTTAGCTTCTTCTGTCTGCCCTGTGGCAACAGAGAGGCGTGTGTGTGATGCGCTCAGAGAAGAGCAGGAAACAGCACTGCCAAGACCCGAGGGCAGAGCACGTGACGTATTCCCTTTCTTTGCAGGAATGGTGGTGTGCAACTGGGTTGTCATCCTGAGTGTCTGCATCACCGTCCTGTGCGTCTTCGACCCGACAGGCCGGACCTTTGTCAAACTGCGGGCCACCAAGCGGAGGCAGCGCAACCTGCGGACCTACAACCTGCGGTAAAGCACTGCTGGAACGGCTCCCTGCTTCCTGCCCTCCTTGGCATTCTCCCTGCCTCGCTTCAGGGAGCGTTCACTTGCAGGTGTTGCTTCCCTTTGGAGAGGGTGATTTTGGAGGAAGGCGGCTCAGGCTGTCAGGTGCTGTGTGTGGGCATCTGTACTTAAAGGAGGCAAAGCAAGGCAGCGCCGGGCTGGATTGTGTGTTAGTCACTGGCTTTGGCAATCCTTCTTAGCCCCTGGAGCCACAGTGCTGATCACAGCAGCCTGTTTGTCCATCCTGTTAGCAGTGTTTAAATTTTGCTTAGGTTGAGCCACCTTTGTCCAAAGCCTTTTTCTTCTTTTGTGTTTATCTGCAAAATATGACCTTTTGGCCTGAAATTTCTTAAATTTGGTCTTGGCCAACAAACAGACTCTTCTGGGTTGGCAGCTAGATGTTTTAATTAAGAATTGATTGCATCTTTGAGCTAACCAGATGGGGATGTGAAAGCTTTTTTCACCAAGCAAGGCATTTTCCAGCAGCTTTTTCCTGTAGCGGGACAGAACAAGCAGGCTTTGTTTTCTTATGCAGTTTTGACACATGTAACCATAAGTAAGGAATGTAACTCTGTAGGACAGAGGGCATTAGATTTTGAATGCTAAAAAATGAGGCTTTTAAAAAATATCATAGAATCACAGAATGGCCTGGGTTGAAAACAACCACAATGCTCATCCAGTTTCAACCCCGTGCTGTGTGCAGGGTCACCAACCGGCAGAGCAGGCTGCCCAGAGCCACATCCAGCCTGGCCTTGAATGCCTGCAGGGATGGGGCATCCACAGCCTCCTTGGGCAACCTGTGCCAGTGTGTCACCACCTTCTGTGTGAAAATATCCTGCAAATTTTGTATTTCTCATTGGAAACGTATATGTGAGGGGTGTTCTGAATATGTGCTATGTGAGGGGTGTTCTGAATATGTGCTATTTCCGTGTCTTGAAGAGGAATCCTTCAGAACCCCTTTTTCTGGAGGGAGGAAAAGTGTCCAGATGCCTGCTTTTTGTTGCAGAATACAAGAAGCTTTTCTTTCCTTTTCTAGTATGTTGCTAACCCTACCCTTTAATATTGAGAATTAGTGCCCTGTAAGCATGATGGCTGCAATTGCTGCATTACAATGAAGACATTCCCAAGCAGATGTGGATGAAAAGCTGGAAGATGGCTCTGGTACCCCACACTAAATCAAAGCTGTTTGGCTTAATTCACATTTTTTCTTTTTGATGGAAGGCTGAGCCACAGGTTGCGAAGTTCTTTTTGCTAGGAAGTTTGAAGTGAGATACAACAGAACACCAAAAATGATCTGCCCTGGAAGTTTTGAGACCCCAGACAATTGAGTGAAGGTATTTGCCCTTGGGCCATGGCCAGGCTTTTTCTTCCAGGCCTGTAACGTTTTCAGAGAGCTTTTTCCTGCTGCTTCCAGACTTCTGCTGTAGGAAGGGAGTGTTAACAGATGTTAACTAGCAAAATGCTGTGGGCTGTAACGTGGAAGAGAAACGTGAAGTAATCCTACGTGGTTGCTACTAAACCTATTGCTTCCAAACAGTATAGTTTGAAATTAGCCACTTGCTTGAAGCAATCCTTTCCAGGGAGTTCTGAAATTCTCTGCCTGCTTCTGGATTATGATTCTGCAAGATGCTGAGGGCCTGTTGTTCCTCTTGCATCCCTTGGTCAGCAGTGATAAAAGCCTGCTGAGCTATAGCATTAATTTGGCATTTGTATCACCTTAATCTGAGCTGTATTTCCTGTCTCAAATCATGAAAGAACTCGATTTGGTTGTCACATTTAGGGGATGTGAACCTTCAGCTTCCTTTTTGTGGTTCTCTGCTGTAGCTATTGGACTGTGGTTTTCTTTTATCTGTGGCTTCTTGATGTGTGTGGGCTTTTATGTTCTTGCAGTATGAACAAAATAAATCAAACTGAAACAAATGGCTCAATTAATTGCGCTGAGACTTTTCTAAAAAAACGTGTTGTAGGACTCATCCAAAACATGTGGAAGTTCAGTGTTTGGAAGAAGGAATTTGGGAGAAGTCAGGGAGAAAATAGCTCAGAGCACGCTTGCTTGTCCAGCCCCCGCAGCGAAGTTGTGAAGTTCTTTGCATTGCTGCACGAGCTTTCTGGCATTTGGTGGAGCAAACAGAGCATTGTCAGCTCCATCTTAGGTCCCTCATATTCCTCTTTCACTTTTGGAATCTTCCTTGGAGGTTGTGGGTATTTGTTTTAAAATGCTCGGCCATGAAGCCCTGCAAAATCTCCTCTTTCTCTTGTAGGCAAATATTTGCTTACCAGCAGCTTTTTCTTCCAGGTGCAACCAACTCTCTGTGCTTGGGCTCTTCATGGCAGAAAAACAGAAGCTGTCTTTTTTTTTATTGAACTGACCTATGTTACGTTGCTCTGCATTCATGTGATGGTGACCCTGCATTGCAAGAACTGTGGACCTTATCCTTATGCAGGCAGCATGGCTTTCTGAGGGGGGGGGAGGAAAGTCAACTAATTTCTTAACGCTGAGCCTGTCTTGATCTCAGATTTGTTCTGCAGGAATGCTAGTTAAGCAATGGACTGTCACTCTGAAAGTGTAGTAACTAGGGCAAGTTCACAACAGTGGAATGAACTCAGCAATAGCTTATTTTAAATAGGGTTGTCCAATTAGCTAAATTTGAAGCTGAAATTGAAATGTCATATAAACCAAATGTGGGTTGAGTGAAACCTTCTGCATTCAGGCTTTTTTTAACCTTTTCTAAATTGAAGGAGAACCTTTAGCTTTCTTCCCCACTTTTGGTTTCAAGTTATGCACCATAGTCAAAGAATGGAAATTTTTTCAGTTCTGAAACTGGTACATATCATAAAAATATTTTTCCAAGTAAGCTATTTATTGGAAAAAATTGCACAGCTCTTAGTGCTAGTGCTCAGTCTTTGTTTTTTCGTAAACCTCGCTTTCTTTTCTGCAGACACCGCCTGGAGGAAGGGCAGGCCAGCAGCTGGACACGCCGCCTCAAGGTTTTTCTTTGCTGCACACGGACAAAGGACTCTCAGTCGGTAGGTACCAAGAAGCTGCAGGCAGGGAGCAAGCTCTGTGTGTGGCCAGTGATACGTAGGACTCAGCAGAGCGGAGCAGTGTGGGATTCCTGCTATCAAACCTGGACGTGCCTCATCGCTCTTATGAGCGTTCTGAGATGCGGAGCCTCGAGGAGTCCAGTGAGCCTTGACAGCAGTGCTTGCAAGGGCTGACATTGTCCTCCAGGAAGCAGCAAGCCGAGCCACCTCTCAGGATGAACAGACTTCACGTTTTGCTCTATGCTGGTTCCTTTTCCTTCCTCTCAGTGTGAGTAGGGCGAATTAAAGCCTGTGTTTCTGCAGGAGCTTACTTAGGTATCCTATGCAGAAATAGAATTATAGAATCATAGAATGGCCTGGGTTGCAAAGGACCACAGTGATCATCTAGTTTCAACCCCTTGCTGTGTGCAGGGTCACCAACCAGCAGAGCAGGCTGCCCAGAGCCACATCCAGCCTGGCCTTGAATGCCTGCAGGGATGTGGCATCCACAGCCTCCTTGGGCAGCCTGTTCCAGTGCATCACCAGCCTCTGAAGAAGCTGATATTCTCTTTAGATGCAGATGTAACATTGCTGGGGAGGACAGTTGACTTTCAAAACAGCCATTCTTAACCTTCCGTTTTAAATATTATGGATTTCTCTCTGAGACAGATAACAGCTCTAAAGAGTGGTATTGTCAGTTTCAAGCTTGCCTCCAGAAGCTGCTCTTTACTTTGCTATTACAGCAAGCTGACTAATCTTAAGTGACGAAACTAGTGGAAAAAGTATATTTTTCATCAATTTAGGTTCACCATTTAACAGCAATTTGTGTGATCAGTTTCAGTTTTCCTTCACTTAGTCAGTTTATCCTATTAGTTTGAGTCAGTCTTATGCCTGAGAAGGAGAGAGACTTTGAAAATGGAAAAATATAAACCTGCCAGAATCAGCAACAAGCATACTCCTGGGTACTGACAGGCTTTATTCGAGATGCTAGCAGAGCCTGCTGTTGAGTCTGTGGATTCAGATGAAGATTGAAGTTTTCACGTGCTACAGTTGGGATTGTTCCTTTGCAGAAACAGTGCAGGGTAAGGAGTTGATTTCACTTCCCAAAAGATAGCAGCCCATTCTTTCCTACTGAAAGTGGTGGGAGCAGGATTTCATGTTCTAGTGATATTCAGCAGGAGTCTTAATAACCTGGTAGAGGTGAACATTGAGGTGGAGGATTGTGCTGACAGCATTAATATTAAAGTTGCTCAGAATTATGAGTAATTGAGAGCTCCTTAAGGACCAAACAGAACCGGGGAGCTGTTATCAATGAGAGACGAAAGTCATAATAGCAAAGGATGAAGCAGTGCATGCACATCTGAAGAAACAAATTACTTGCATACACTGATAGGCTGTGAATTAGTTACAACCTCTCAGGAAAAGAGCGAGGAGTTATCAAGGACACCTCAACAAAGACATCAGTGCACAGCAGTGGCCAAAAAAAACCTTCAGAAAAACATGGAAGGACGTAGAAAGTGACAGAAAACATCAAGGGACTGACTGCATCAATGATCTCCTCACTAAATATAGTTTGGTCTGCTGAAAGGTGCAGGAGAAAAAGGAGCATATTGGAGGGGCTATGAACTTGTAAAGGAAGAGAAATGAGTCTGGGATTTTAACCTCAGAAGGAAGAAGTGCAGTGAGATGAAAACTGTGTAAAAATAATGGAGAGACAGGTGAAGGCTACCCGAACATGTGTTCATCACATATGGCAACCTGTATGACTTAAACACGAAGGCTTGTGGGTGAGCACGTTGTTATCCTCGGGGTGCAGTTGTTGTCGTAGCCCTCCTACAGAAATCCAGCCATGTGCTGTGGCGCTGCATGCTGGATGAAGTGCAGCCCAGCCCTGCCGACTTTCACAGATCATCTTCTAGAGCTGGTTAGGAAAATCCATGTGGAAAATGGCAACGAGATGAGCTGTGTGCTGTGGCAGCTCAAACAGCAGCATTTCCTTGGAGGCTGCATTCTGCCCATCAGCAGAAATACCTTGGGTTGCACTGCCTTTGCACCCGGCTACCCCATCACATCACTCTGCCATATCCCAGAGCTCTGAGAGGCATTGAGTGCCTTGGTTCCCAAAAGCAGTATTCAGGAATGCTGTTGAGGAACAGCAGTATTCAGGAATGCAAAATACTTCACATTGTGTGAACTTTTTTTTTTTTTCCAAGCAGTGAAATGAAAAATTCTGTAGTGCCTGTTGGATTCTACTTCTATTTCTAGTTCAGGATAAAAGCAGATACCAGAGTCTTCAAATTCCTTGTGCTGTTGAATTTCCACTTTAAATTCAGCTTGAGTGATTTCCAGGCTCTTTTCTTTGAAGGAACAAGCTCTGACTTTGTGTGTCCTGGCATGACAGTGTGTGGAATGAATGCGTATGTAATGGATCAGAAATGAATCCATCGCTGCCTCTCCCAGGCTTCATGGGGAAAAAAAATGTTCTAGCAGGGGATGATTGTCCTCTGAGCTGGAAAATAGAATTCTGCAGAGTGAATGTGGCACCAGAGCAAGAATCTGTTCCTGTGGGTCTGGAGCAATGTCTGCAGCTCTAAGTCTGCCGGCTGTGCCAGCCCCAGAGCCTCCAGGGCTTGTCACAGAGACCGACTGCAGTCAATCCTGCAACATCCCATCAAGCCCACCAGCAGCAACTCTTCTTTCAGAACAAAGCATACACTGAACTTTTGTTCTGGGCCTTTACTGTGAACAGAGTATTAGGAGGTGGTAGTGTGACTTTGGGTTAGCGTTGTTTGCCTTTTAATTTGAGGCTGTTTGCATTTCTTGCGTACTTGTAGGAAGGATTTATTGGGTCAGCATTTTGTGGACAGTGTGATTGTAAAGTTGGAAAGGCTGATGGGAATCCGTTTGCTCTTCAGGTGCACAGCTGGCATGGAAACCTGTGCAGTGGGCACCCGAAGCCCCATTCTTGAGCATGATGTAACTTACTTTAGGCAAGTGAAAAATGGCATAAAGGTAATCCTGCACTCCAGCAGTTTGTAGAGAACAGAAGAATGTAGGTCATTTCCTGCAAGCCTGCTGGGGGAGAAGGAATTTGCTTTCTGATCTGTCAAAGAGATGGAGAGATTCTGCCCTGAAGACCAGCCCAAGTGAACAGCCCAGGCTTTCTACAGATGGGACTGTAGCTGCGTGGCATTAGTGTTGAATAAAGGTTATGAAAATATTGCTGAGAATTCAGGTTTAGTCTGATAGATCTTGGTAGGAAAAGTTAACGATGGCAGCACTCAAAATATTGATCACCTGTGTGCTGTAGCTTTTGCTCAATCCCACTCTTTGTTGGTTCAGCCTCCAGGTCACCCCAGTCTTTGAGCTCTCTGTTCTGAGCAGTGACCCAACACGTTGTCTCACAGTGCAGCCACTTCCAGCCTTCCAAAGCGTTCTCACTTCAGGCCCTATGTGTTTTGGTTTTTTTTGTTGGTTTATTTTTTGTGTGGTATGGAGCCAAAAGGGAAATAACGTTTCTCCTCAAAGTCTGTGTCACTCTGCTTTAAAGCTTTAGATGATTTTCTAAGGTCGTTTCGAGTTCTGTCCCTTCTTCTGCAATGTCTTCGTTTAGAGGATTGGTCACTTTCCCCGCTGGGAACCCTCTGTTCAGTAACTTGGAAGTGATGAACTTAGTGGTCTTTTGCAACCTTAATGATTCTATGGTTCGATGACTTGGATCTGTTTTCACAGGTTGTTCTTTTCAGGCCCTTTTGCTTGGGTGTGCTCCAAGACAGACTTGGAAAAGCTTGCTAACTTGCTCAGCTCTTTCAGGACCTGGAGCTCTGATGTGTAACACGTGCTTGTTGTACTTTAACTCTTTGAAATCATGTAGTAAACAGCACAGTGGTGAGCAGTGAGTGGTACAGAGGCTGTTCTCTGACAGTTTGCAGAAGTCTCTCGCTTTCTCTGTAATGTGCCCAGGATGGTGAGGTCTGACTTAAGTATGGAAATAGCTCCAGGGGAAATAACTCCAGGACAGAGTTACAGAACTGAAGAGGCTATCAAATAAGATATATTTGGTGCATTTTTCCTGAATAGCCTTTGTTCAAACGAAATTGCTTTTGAGGAGAAAGTCTGACTGTAGGGTGACACTGGGTGGGGATCTTTTTGGTTCTCGGCTTACTTCCTCTGTCTTACTTACACTGAAAACATTGTCCTTCCCTCCCTTTTTTATATGCATTCCATGTCCTGATGCTTAGGTGGTCAGCTTATCCGCACAGCAGACCACATAGTGCAAATGCAGTCTCAGTGACATTCATAGAATTACAGAATGGCCCGGGTTGAAAAGGACCACAACGATCCTCTAGTTTCAACCCCCCTGCTATGTGCAGGGTTGCCAACCACCACAGCAGGCTGCCCACTTTGTATAGTCAGAGGTATTAATAATGATTAGACCTGATGTGGTGTTCCCAGAAGGAATTCTGTGGATGTTTGGGGCTACAGAACTGGGGCCATTGCTGCTGCACAGGCTCTTGTTCTGTGTCCTGTTCTGAGGCTCCCCACACTCAAACTCCTCTTCCTAAAGCTTTTCTCTGTGGGTTTTGCAGGATGCCTACTCTGAAATCGCCTACCTTTTCGCTGAGTTCTTCCGAGACCTTGACATCGTCCCATCTGACATCATTGCAGGCCTGGTTCTTCTGCGCCAACGGCAGCGGGCAAAGCGCAGCGCCGTGCTGGATGAGGTGGGTGGAAACTTGCTGCCTTTTCTAGTTAGGTGATGCATACAGATTTAAATCTTGACCCTAGACAGGCAATTGGAGGCAGTTTCTTTAAAGTTAATAGGAAGAATGGAGAGAAGACTCCAGCATCTGGGCAGAACTTCAGAGGCAACCTGAGGGGAAAAAAAAACCCTGAATTCCCAAACTATTCTGCCACTGGGATTTGTGGATTCCTAAGTGAACAGAAAAGTTGTACTTATTTTCTCCAGAGGTGGGGTTCAGACAGTGTTGGATCAGGTGGAAATCAGAACAGCAGAATTGGAGCCAATTCAGGGATTGCTCAAGATGTTTGCAAGCTGTCCTGCCCCAGGTTACCCAGTTCTTTGTTTCTTATGTATGGATTTTTTGTCCTGGTGTCACAGAGAATATTTTCTTGTTTGTGACTTACAGGCAAACAATGACATTTTAGCTTTTCTGTCTGGGATGCCAGTGACCAGGAACACAAAGTATCTGGATCTGAAAAATGCGGTAAGTCGCTGGACTGTGATCTTGCAAACTCACGTGCTTCTTTATGTAGCCTGTTTTCTTTTTTCTAAATGATTTCTTTTCTGCTTTTCTGAAATAATCAAAGAGATTAAGAATGGTACAATGAAATAACAGTACTTGTTCTTCTGGAGGCTTTGTTGTCTTTGGATCGCTTTTAAAGCATTATCTGTCTGTCCTCCACTTTGTGGGAAGTAGTATTTCCACTCTGATGCTGAAAGACAGTGTGAGATTTCTTACAAGTCAGAGGTACGAGTTGAGTGCTGCAGCCAGGAATGTTGTGCAGAGTTCCATGTAATGGTATCACCAGCTGGGCTTCATCTTGGTGAGGGCAGGGAGCTGCCTCGAGTGAGATGGAGCCTTCTTCCTTGGGCTGCTTCTGTCAGCAGTTCTCAGGATGGAGACAGCTGCAGTCTGTTCTATGTAAATTAAGCTTGGCTTTTCTTTTGGAATGGTGCTGTTGCAGCCCTTCACTGGGCAAGCTATATTCACCCCTCTTGATCAGATGATATTCTTGCAAGAGAGGAAAGACCGACCCAATCCCAGCACCTCTGATTAAGCAATTCTGTGATCAGCCTGCTTGCAGCTGTGCTGTGCTGCTCTGCACCTAATGCTAACTTCCTGCTTGTGTTCAGGCTATCCCTTTCTGCATAGGTATGTGGGGAGAGAGGTCTGCACGGCATATAGAAGACAGCCCTGGGGCATTTGGCCCCAGCCTGGCTTTTATGGTCCTCTCTGTGCATCTTCCTTATGGCTCGTGCCCATTTGGAAGCAGCATCTTTACAGAGCTCATCTTCTTGTACTTGGTACTAGTTTCTCCCTGCCCAGTTAAGGTTGGGTGGGGCAAAATACACAGAGGTTGGCCTTTCTTTGCAGCAGAGTGTTTGTTACATAGGGAAGAATGGCTGCAGAACTAACTTCAAGCTTTGTTAAGCATCTAGTAAGTCCTCTCTAATCACATAAATGTGCAGTCATACTGGGTGGGGAGGGAAGGAGAGGATCTTACTGAGCATAATCAGAGTGCTCTCCTGCAGTCACCTGGAAATGCTGACAGTGTTTGCTGTCCCAGTGCTGGTAGAGAGAATGCTGATGTTCAGGGAGAAGGGTGCAGTCTCTAACTACAGTAGAAAAAGGGGAACAGGAGGAAATTGACATATGAAGAGAATAAGGCCTTTAGTGAGTCTCTTGTTTCTTTCAGCAAGAGATGCAGCGATACAAAGAGGTGTGTTACTACATGCTGTTTGCCCTGGCTGCCTATGGCTGGCCCATATACCTGATGAGGAAGCCCACATGTGGACTCTGTCACCTGGCCAGATCCTGCTCGTGAGTGGCCGTCCTGCCTATCGCTCTGCCTTCTCTCCTTCCCTCTTCCTTTCTATTTTTCCCTGATTTAGAATCCTTTCTTCAATCAGTTTGCTTTCTCTGTCACTTTTCAGTTACTTCTTATTTTTTTCCTCTTCTGCTTTTTTCTCTTCTCCTACCCTTTCCATCTCTCGGTATCTTCATTCTCACATCTTTCTCTTCATTCCTTCTTATAGTTACTTATCTGCTTACCCTGTTAAATAAACCACTGTCATATTCTGTCCTCTCTGGTGCACTAAGGATCATGCCAGTCCTTTGTTTGGTTTGGATAACCAGTGGAGAGAACTCATCTGGCACAAGAGTGCTTTCAAACACCGAGTCAAAATAGCTGTCTCAGAATGCAGAAAGCAGATTTATCAGCAAGCCCAGTTAGGCAGAGAATTGACATTTGGGTCTTTATTAAAGCCTCAATGGGACTTGGCCAGAGTTTGTGCTGCGTTCTCTCTGACTAATTGTTTTTTGATCGCCATGCTGTATACTGCTCACTTCAAGGCAGCAATGCTGTAGTTCACTTCAGGCTTGCATGTTAAATGTTAGCTTTTTAGCTTCTATAATGCTGTCATTGGATTATCTTCAGAGTTGAGCTTTTTGCCCTTAAAGAAGTAAATTTCTTCTTCAAACCTGCTAGGAGGAATGTCCTTCTGAGTCACTTTGAAGTGTATCATAAGGAAAAGAAAGGAAGAAAGAGTTTGTGCTTGCATTGTAGTTCTGGGATGATTCTAGACCTGCTTTGCTACTTGCTATAAGTAGATCTAATAAATGCTAGTTGCTTGCGTGTTGAAGCGGTGTAGGATTGTGCATAGTATCTCCTGAGGAGAGATCCCTTGGAGAATGGCTGCACTGTAGCTCTCTCTGGTGCCCAGAAGGAAAACTACATCTGATCCTCGTGCCGCTTTTGATGTGGAAATAGGAGTTGTGTGCTGTTTTGTGCAAGAGCTGCAGTAAATGAGGGAGATGACTGCTGTCAGGGTGACACGAGTGTGGCTTGCAGGTTTTCTCTTCCTTTCCCTTACCTCGCTCCAGGCGTCCCACTTTAAAATCTGTCTTTTCCACGTTCCTCTTCTTTCCTCAAGGCTGTAATTTTTCTCTTCTGCAGGTGCTGCTGTCTCTGTCCCTCACGTCCCCGCTATGCACCCAGTGTCACCATTGAAGAGGATAATTGCTGTGGCTGCAATGCCATTGCCATCCGGCGCCACTTCTTGGATGAGAACATGACCTCGGTGGACATTGTTTACACTTCTTGCCACGATGCGGTACGCAAAGTCTGCAGCCCCTTCCTGTGTGAGGCGTGCTCCCAAGGCCCCTCCCAGTGGGACTCGCATGCTTCCGTCTCTAGTGGTACAACACAGGAAAACTTGCTGTTTTTTCTGACCCTAGACTTTATCTCTCTGCCAAGAATTTCTGTCCCTTGGACAGAAATATTTGGCCCCCATCAGAAGCAAATGTTAAGCTGCTGTGCTTTCCCCGAGCAGGAGAATATGTGAAGGAGGATGTCTCATCAGAGTGTTACAGCAGTGCATCTCTTCTAGGTTTATGAAACTCCTTTTTACGTGGCTGTGGACCATGAGAAGAAGAAGGTGGTCATTAGTATCCGAGGAACTCTGTCTCCAAAAGTAAGTGCATTGTGCAGTGGCCTCACACACCCTTGGCCACCCTAGCAAACTTTTAGGGTAGCCTGAGATTTTCCTGGCTGGCTGTTGGTGTTTGATTTATCTGAAGCACAGCGACTCCTTTCTTCAGGATGCCCTGACTGACTTGACTGGGGACGCAGAGCGCCTTCCAGTTGAGGGTCACCATGGAACCTGGCTGGGACATAAGGTATGTAAAGAAACATGTATTGTTTTGAGGTTTTGACTTTTAGTTATAGGCAAAACAGGAACAAAAAAACAGCCTAAACTGCTTGAGTTGTGAAGAGCGTTTTACAACGGCAGTGAAACAACTATGAGATGTAGAAACAAATAAGTCAACAGTAAATAAGTTAACAGTAACAGTTAAAATCATTCTGTTAAAAAAGAAAAAAGAAAAAGAAAAAAAAAAGAAAAGAAAATTACAGCATGCAAGTAGTAAAAAGCGAGCTGCAAAAAGGATCTGTGGGGACCTAGAACAAAATTGTCAGTGTCATTGAAATTACTTTCTCTTCCAACGAATGACCTTTTGAGAATTTGCAATTAAACCCTGACAGTGTCTTTACAATTCTGTTGCAATGGGACATTCACTGCACCTCGTAAGCAGACATTGGCAGGGCTTGCATCTGTGTAATTAGACTGATGCCACGTGTCTGTGTTAGTGAGCAGGACTGGGCTGACTAAACCAATTCAGCATAGAGCTTACCTTTGCCCCAGTCCAGCAAAGTAATGGCACGCATGCTGAGTTTTAAGATTAGCAGGAGTTTGGCAGCCTCTCAAGGTGTAATGCCAGACTGGGAAAGGCACATCCAAACTGGTGATTGCGTTTGTCGAAAGCATTGTGGTAGCTGCTGGGAAATGCTGCTGCTCAGGGAATGCTGTGGGTGATTTGGTCAGGGTCCCTTCGGGGCAGGACATGGAGCTCATAACTCCTGAGGGCTCCTGCTTTGTTCAGTGTCCTTCCAGATGGCCTGTGTGACGCTCTTTGGCGCTGTGCTTCATCAAGCAAAGCATTAGAGGCTGATAGCTGCGTCCTCAGATGCTCAGCTGGGTATGGGCCTGAAAAAGGAGCAGTTACCTGAAAGTGCTGTTGGGACAGCAAGGATTTTATTTCAGACTCTCAGGATGGGGCCTTTTGAAAACAGTACTTTGTACTTCTTCTTTCGCAAATGAGTATTTCTTTTCATTTCCCCCAAATGGGAAAGTGAATCAGTGTCGTGGTTACACAAGGCGTTGTATAGAAACAGAGATAAATGAGGAAGTGATGTGTCACTTAGTTAATATCGAGGTATCTGAGTCTTTACTTCTCATCTAACGTTTCTGAAGTGTTTTGTCTGCTGTCAAAGATAATGTCACTTGGTTTTGTGCTCCTTCATCTGATTCAGAAAGCCTTTGCAGAACCGTTGTGATAAGCAGTTTGTATAAACCAAAGGGAAGCAAGGGGCATTTGTTCTATTTCGAATCTGCAGAAAAGCTACTAATAGATACCTGTAGGAGTTGGATTCTTCTCTTGATCCTGTGGAAATATTAATGTGCCAGTTACTTATATGAAACATCAGATCATTCCCTGTATTTTGCACTGGATTTTTATTTGCCTTTTGCATTATGCCTTTTTCTGTTGTTACAAGTGCAGAAATACTGCTTTATCTGAAATTATTATAAATATTAATCTTTAGACAATAATGCACTGTTGATTCCTGAGGGAAGCCAAGAGAAATAATAGAATTTTGAGATGCAGCTCCTGATGCATTTTTAATGTCCACAAGTCAACTTTAATACAAAAGCAGATGAAGTACCTTGCTAACACATTTAATTTGTAGAAAAGCACTGGGCTGTTTGGGAGCTTCCTGTTAGTTGCTTGGCTTCTGTTCTTTTCCTTGCTGATGCTACCCAGCAGGCTGGGATGCCCTGTTATCTCCACCACAAGCCATGCTGCTTCATGTGGTGCCTATCAGACATCTGAGAAATGAAAACTCTTGATGTTTGCGTGAGCCTTCCTGTTGCTCCACTGGGACCACAGCTGGAAGTGTTTGATTGTTTGGGTTGCTGTACATGCCACAGCTGAAGTTTGAGAGGTTTCTGAGCTATTTTGGGCCAGCTGTAGGTAAGGTTTGTGGGTTGGTGTGTTAAAAAAAAAAAAAAAGGAGAATAGGAGATTGTTGCAGCTTGGAGTGGAAATTAACCACAGCAAAATCTTCACTGCTTGAGGTAAAATACAATGATTTTATAATGGACTTCATTTAAAAATAATTGTAAGTAAGGGGCATGAATCCATGCTGAATTCTGTTAGCCTGCAGAGGACAAAACTCCACAGGTGATGATTTTATGGAGGTTTGGTCGCTGGTGTTCAGCCAGCCAAAATGACAGTGAATGGCTGTGCGGGAGGAAGCCCGGAACGCTCAGCTGTGCCAGCAATCCTCACCTGTATGTCAAACAGTCAGCAACAGCAGAACTTTCTTTTCTACCACAGGGATACCCTCTTTTGTGGGTTTTCCCATCTTGTGGAGCAGTTTCTTGCCTTCAGGCTGCAAAGCAATACAGAATATTTCTGCCTTTCTTCTCCTAGCTGTTTGGTCCATTCGGATATTTATACATGGGGTTTGAAAGTTAAGCCCAGGTAATTTTTTTTCTTATGAAACTCATGAATCCTAAATATGACTCTGTGGGGATAAGCCTCGTTCCATAATATTGACATCACTGTCTGTATTAGAACATCCAGTAATCATTGAAAATACAGCTCTAAGACAGACAGTTGGACCATTAGTAAAATCACTATGGAGGTAGATATGCTTTTTAAAAACAGGATCCTAAGTTCTTGTTAGAAATTTATATAAGTCGCCTGCCATTCACTCCTCATTAGAATCAGAAATGGAGACTCTTTTGAATGCAGCTGAAGCTGGCTAGCTGCTGGGAGCTGAACACAGGCCTAAAATACCATGGCATCTGCTTGTTTGATAATGACAGGGACTTTTTAAGTTCAGCAGAATTACCCGTGTTCCTTTTCTTCACTGGGCAGATTGGCGTTTGATATCAAAGGCTTTGAAAATTCCCCATTTCTTTGCTTTCTGAAGGAGACCATGCATTCTTTTCTGCCTTTGTGATTAAACAGTGCTCAATAAAATTCACTTTGTACTTAAACTGTTTGCAGGTAGGGGTGTGATGGAAAATAGCAGAGGAGATGGTCTTCTCTGGTTTTTGGCCAGCCCAGGCAGTGCGCATTATGCGAGGGCTGCAATCACCAAATGATAATTAGCAGTATCTCTGTATTTGTGTTTACCCTGAGCTACATCACCATTTTTAGCCTTTGCAGTTCAGGCTTGTTCACCTCTGAATATTAACTGTAATAAAAGCATAACCAAGAATTTATGCAACAGACCAAACCGCATCTCTCTTGCACAGAGTGAGACAAACCCTGAGTGGAGCAATCAGCTGGGAGAGTGGATAGATGGTTAGAACCAGGCCATCCATTTGTTTCCCATCTCCCAGCATTCCTTAGCTTCTAGGGAATAAAAACCTTTAAAAAATAAAATTCCATTAACGTCCTCGGTCAGCTGAATTCACTTAATAGTTGCTGACACCTCCAGTCATCAGCAGCTTTCCCACACAGATAGAACTGCCACTTTTTCCCTGCCTGGGTGTTTGTGCTGTCTCCCTGAACCTTTTTGGCTAGCTTTCCTTTGCAGATTTAAATGCAAGAGTGCAGCTCTGGGATTAAGAAGTTCACTTCTGCTGCTCCACTGCAGGTCTCAGTGTGGGCTGACCTACAAGACACACAGCCTTGCATTTAAGTTAGTGGTGTGGTTTGTGTCTTTCTCAGGCTTTAGCCCAAGAATCAGATCGATGCGTGCTGTCAGAACTTAAGAGCTGTTATTGCTCCTGAACACTTTGTGGCTCTGGTGAGCCAAACACGTGCCTCATGAAGCAGAGGCAGTGTTCTTCCTCAGTGCTGACACATGCTGTGCAGTACTCAGCTTGTCCAGCACCGAGGGCAGTTTGCTGCCTTCTCCCCCAGTGCTGATATGCAGCTGTTCATACTCTGTTCTCTTTTTGTTTGCGCTCAGGGAATGGTGCTATCTGCTGAGTACATCAAGAAGAAACTGGAGCAAGAAATGGTGCTTTCTCAAGCCTTCGGACGAGACTTGGTGAGCATTAGCTTTATTTTATCACCACGGACCGTACAGAAGATGAGATTTCCTTCTATTGTACTAATTTCTCAAATCTCAATTCCTATCTCTCTGGCTTTCCAGACAGGCCTCTTGTTACTCCTTTTTCTTCTGGGGCCTTCTTCCCAAGAGTACTGCAGAGCTCCTGATATTTTTTTCTCAGACAGGAAGTCCCATTTGGTGGCCATGCAGGACAGGGAACAAAAACAAATCAAGAGGAACTAAAATCCCATCTTGATGGAGATCTTTGGAGACAGCAGTGGGATGTCACGCTGCCTGTCTGTGTGCACACATTTCCTTTAGTTCTCTATCAGAAGAGGACTCGAGAGAGGTGTTAAGATGCTTACCTTAGCTTGCATGTCAGTAATAGACTGTCAACCTCCTAGTAGAGGACGTTTTCTGCACTGCCTGATTCCCTGCTGCCAGATAGCTGTCCTTTTCTCATGCCCATAGAGTGCCTTGGCCTGAGCAGGCCCATGGGAAATTAGTGGTAGTGAAAAAGAGAAGAGTGAAAGGCTTGATGTTCCGTGGAACTGGTGCCGTACCAGTTAGCGCTGCAGTGGCTGCCTTGGGGTGCTGGTAGGTGTACATAGGAGGTACGGAGGCACTGATCTTCTTTATATGGTGCTTTATTCCTCTCTGCCTAGAAAAGGAAGATTGGATTTGTTCAGTGAGCTGTTACTTACAGGGGTGTTTTCTTCTGTCCTTGCTGTCTGACGGGTAAGGGTGTGCTGGCTGAGTACTTAGGCTGGCTTCTGTGTGTGATGCTAGGTATCCTGTTTGGTTTTGTTCAGAGCTGGCTTGGATGTATGGTGGGTCTGATTATATGTAATGTAATGTAGTGTAACTAGCTAGGCCTAACTCACACAGGGGGCGAGAGAACTTGAGTAATGAGATGGAACTATGGCCTTGTGGTTAGAAAATGAAGCGCTGGCTGAAGCTGAACTTTGAGATATATATGGAAAAGTGAGAGAGCATAAATGCCATTCTGGGTCCTACCAAGAGTTCATCTAGCCCAGCACGTTTTTCTGTCAACTGCCAGCAGCAGATTTCAGGGAAAAAATGCAACAAGTGGGATTCACCTCACTGGCTAGCATTCATGGTGTTGACTTAGGGGTGCTGTTCATAAGTAAAATGACACAAAGATAGATCTTTCATTCCTGTGGCTTTTTCTGTGTTCTCTTTTTTCTCATCTTATGTGGAAGCCTGAGCACAGCTGCAGCTGGTTTCCCAAGGCCTTAGAGAGTAGGAGCTGCATTCTCTGACCCTGTGTAAGCCCTACAAAGTTCTGGCAAAGCTCTGTGATACTGCATTGAAACAAGATTGAAATTTCTGAAAATCAACTTACTAAGTCTGAGGCATGCCTTGCACTGTGACCTCTGAATAACAAACACTACAAAATGTTAGAGAGTAGTTTTGTCTATGAATTACTCAATTGATTGCCAGCTGCTGGGAACATCTAGATTTCAGAAGACTGTTGTTCAAACTGCAGGTTAGGATTTCTGTTTTTCAGCATGCACTAGCAATGAAATAAATGAGAAAAACCCTTCATTGCCAGAATCAGAGACCTCTGATTTGTGAGCCTGGAGCTGAATATCATCAGAAGGCTCATCAGATCTCATGTAACTCAACTTAAGCATATGTTTCATTTTTCTTTCAGGAAAGATCCAATAGGTCAAGGACTGATTTGTGAAAGTGTAAGAGAAAATGCCAGAAGTGAATTAATTCCAGTATACCTTTGGAAGAGGCAATAGTAGAGGGCAGAAAACTGCTCCCATTTCAAAATCTGACATAACATCACTAACTCCCATTGCAGGAGCAGTTGGTTAGTTGGACTGCGGAGTGCTCATGTATAGGAACAACCTGCAGCTGGGAAAAGGGACGGATTTGGGGGTTTGTGAAGTTTCTTTCCAGTCTGACTTCAATTTCTTGTTTTGTTTTTGTTCTCATTTTCAGGGGAGAGGAACAAAACATTATGGCCTGATTGTGGTTGGCCATTCCCTAGGGGCTGGCACAGCTGCCATCCTGTCCTTCCTCTTGCGTCCACAGTACCCATCACTGAAGTGCTTTGCTTATTCTCCCCCAGGTGGGCTGCTGAGGTAGGTGTTGGGTCAGGAGGTCTGGTGGCAGAGAGGGGGCGTGTAGCTGAAGTGGCATCAGATTCTGGTTGTGATATTCTGATGACCAGTAAAAGATAGTCTGTGCCCTGAGAAGCAGGCAAGAAAAAGTGTAGTAACAGTTGATGGGAGCTGAGGCTTGTGGGCAGCTTTTTTCTGTATTAGAATTTGAAGTTTAGGTTCCAGTGGCAGGTGACCACTCCCAAGTATTCAGGTTTATGACTTTGTTGTGTGCTTCTGTAGCTCTGATTTAACTCTGCTTAGTGGGAAACACAAGTTGGGTGGACAGGGTGAAATTTCATCCCTTATTGTCTGTGCAGTGCCGGTGTGTTCTCTCCCCATCTTCTGCCAATAGGTGTCCAGAATGGGAGATGTTTGACCAGATGCAGGTGTCTGTATCAGATCTAGTTGTCAGGATTCCTTTTGCAACTGACAAAGAAATTGGCACTTGAAAGCACCTGTGGGTTAGAAGCTTCCTGTGGTGGTTACTGCATCATGTTCCAGGAGTGGCCAAGGGATTTTAATCATCCTGCTAATGAATCTGGACATTAGCATGCCTTGTTGTGATAATACTGCTTAGTCATTTGTGGCTGTAGAGGCATTGCTTTGTAGAACTGTTTTCCTGGGAGTTTCCATAGCTTTTTGCTTAGAGCTTCCCCTCCCAAGATCCCCTGATAAAGCATAGGCCAAGCTGTACCCCTTCTACTGACTCTGAGCTCAGGGTGCCTTGAGCACAAGGTTCAAGGTGCTTCTGTCTGCCACACCTTTCTTGTGATCTGCATTGTGCCCACGATCATCTCTGGGTGAAAGGTGCTGGCCTCCATCAGTGGTGGCTGTTTCATAAGTGAGGTCTCTAGAAGGCAGCTGGTTGCAGAACAAGGTCATAGGGTGGAAGCCTTAATTCCCTCTTGTCTTGGTGCTTAGGTTACTGCAGGAGGTGACTATCTTAGTTCTGTGATGTCTTTTTAGTCTCAGAGGCATGAAATACCTTCTTCCATAGTCTCCTGCCATTCCCAAAGGATAGGAGAAGTGGTAGGAAGTGCTGAGTGTAGAGTACTTCCTTATCCAAGTCTATTTGGAGCCATGTGCAGGTAAGGAAGAAGGAGTTGCTCTATTTGAGCTGCACCCTTACAGAGTAACGTTGCTTGGGGCATGAGATGTGTGTATCAGGCTCATCTTAGTGTGCAAGTGTTAAGGACCTTGAGCAGCTTGCACTGTGTGTTTATGATGCCTGTTCATTGTCTAGTAACCTCTCAGACACCAGTGGCAAATTGGAATGAACTGCAGTTTGCTGCTAGTGAAACCCTGTTTGCTTCTTCTTGGTCCTGTTTCTCTTCCAGTGAGGATGCCATGGAATATTCAAAAGAGTTTGTGACTGCAGTCGTGCTTGGCAAAGATCTAGTGCCCAGGCAAGTTGAGAAGAGTCCGAATTCCTTGATGAGTATCTGCTGCTCTGTACCAGTCACCTATTTCCAGACAGAAACACCCAGATCATACCTGTCTTGTTTCCTCATTTACCTGTCTGTGTCTGCTTCTCACTTGTCCTCCTGGTTACCTGCACCTTTTACCTGGACACCTACATTGGTGTTTTATATACCTTTTTATAGGCATATCCCTCTCCATCTCTCAGTCGCCTGTATGAAATAAAAAGGTGAATATCCAGCCTCTGTGATTACACTCATGGTCGTACCTGACATGCCAGTGCCATCTTCGTGATTGTCTGTGTTACCTCAGTCCTCTTCACTCTGAGCTAGATGTGCTCTCATCACATTTTGTAGTGCTGCCTATCATCTCACACCTCTGAACCAGCTCCCCTATTCCTTGTCTTGGCATTCCTCACTGCTTGTCATCTCCTGTGACACATTCTGCTGAGCAGGGCAATGGGCTAGGAGTCAAACAACCCGGGTTTTATTTTAACTTCTGCCCCATTGTGTGACCTTAGACAGTTTTTGTCTGTACAGTATCAGGCATGTAGAGTTAGTGTAGGAAGAGTACTGTGATGTTCTCTATATCATAGAATCACAGAATGGCCTGGGTTGCAAAGGACCACAAAGATCATCTAGTTCCACCCCCCTGCTATGTGCAGGGTCGCCAACCAGCAGAGCAGGCTGCCCAGAGCCACATCCAGCCTGGCCTTGAATGCCTGCAGGGATGTGGCATCCACAGCCTCCTTGGGCAACCTGTTCCAGTGCCTTCTGTTAAGCTGTAAAAGAGAATCTTGTATATTCTAGAATGTTTTATGTTGTCATATAGCTCTGTGCTATCTTTCTGGATTTATCTGTTCTGTGGCATCCTATACTTGAACTGTTTCTTGTCTCCTTGTTTTCTCTGATTGCTCCACCACTCTCATCTGTTCACTGACTTCTTATATCTATGTTTACTGCTCTGATTCTGTTATTGCATTTCACACCTGTTTGTTGTTACAGTGGCTTCCTGTCGCATTTTACCCTGGTTACTGGTCCCAGGTGATGGCACAACTCACCTCTGAAGTGATCTGCATTACTCTTGCATTCTTGTTTCTTTTATAGCATAGTTTCTTATTGTTCTGCACTATATGTCTCTGCTATCCTGCTCCCTGTCTGCTGTTCCCTGCACAGCTGTTATAAGCACATCTTCCTCTCTTCCCAGAATTGGTCTCTCTCAGCTGGAGGGATTTCGCAGGCAGCTTCTGGATGTTCTTCAGAGAAGTAACAAACCAAAGGTGAGAATGAGGATGAGCAGATTCTCGAAGGCAAGTGTCTGAGCAGTGATGATAAAGTTTCACTGTCACACAGCAATACTGCAGGCTTCTCCTGACTCCCAGATCTCCTCAGATCCACCATCACTGTTGTTTAGGTAAACAGAGGGATGATGGAAGCAGCTGGAGAGGATGGGGCTGAGAGAAACACTCTGCTTGCAGGCTGGCTTGTAACTCTTATGGCAATTCTGGCTCATGTGCTGGGGGTTCATCATCACATGTCTAAAAAAACTGAGAAGGAAGTTTTGTCATCTGAGCCTGTTTGGAAGACTGTGTTGCAGCTGTAGCTTTTTCTGGCCAGTAAGAAGTGATTGGTATCAGGCTGGGAAGTGCAGCATCTGTCTGCTTGTAGGCACTGCTTTGTGCTCCCCAGGTGGTGCTGTTCCAGGGTAAGTGGCCTGTTAATGTTTTAGAGTAAAGAAACGTGCAAAATTGTTCTTCCCTGGGTTTCCTTACCATTACATTGAGGTGGAAAGAACATCAGATTTTAAAATTGTTTCTAAAATTCTAAGATGTTAGAGAGATAATAACTGTAGGGTAAAAAACTGAGCGGATGTTGTTTCTTGGTAGAATTCTGTTTTGCTGTTGTTTCAGTAAACTTTTGACTTTTAGGTTTGGGTTTTTTTAGTGCATAAATAAAAGCATAAGGGGAATTTTTGTTTGCTTAAGTACCTTTTCTTCTCTCCGTGCATTAAAAAATCAGATTCTCTTTACCTTGTTGGTCCTTGAAGATGTCCCATTGGTGGACAAAGGTGTGCTTGTTCTAGATCCCCGACTCTGCAAAAACATCCACAGCAAGATTTTGCCACTTTTAAGGTTAAAATAAGGAAAGGAAAGAAGTGCAGGATTATGTCTCCTAAGGTTCAAACAGCAGGAACGCAAACTCTGTTTTTTCCCCTTCCTTTCTAGCATTAAGCATTCAGTTCAAGTAAACCTATCGACAGTACATTGTGAGACAGCTCTGCTTTTCTAATCTTTTGCTCTTCTCCATATTCTCCCACCTTTCTGTGGTGTTGGACAGTGGCGGATCATTGTGGGTGCTACCAAGTGCATACCCAAGTCAGAGCTTCCTGAAGAGACTGAGGAGAACTCGGTAACGAGCAACCGCCTCTGGACCCACCCCAGTGATCTGACCATCGCCCTGTCTGCCAGCACGCCGCTCTACCCACCTGGCCGCATCATCCATGTGGTGCACAATCATCCCGCAGAGCAGTGCTGGTGAGTTCCAACAGAACATGAATTCCCAGGAGAGCAGTCCATCTGTGAAGGAAGTGGCTTTTTTCACTGCCTTACGGTGGCAGTGATTGCAGTGTGAGGGTAGAAAGATACTCATGTCACTGTGCGGTGCTTTAGAAGAATGTGTACCTAATATCTCCTCCTTCTGTTTTTCCTCCTGTTGTTTTTTTCTGTCTCTGTAACCTGCTGTTTTGCATGCCAAAACACTGGCTTGCTCTTCCATCCCCTGCTCTTTGTTTTCTCCTCTGGATCCCGACTCCTTTTTTTAGTTGCTGTGAGCAAGAGGATCCCACTTACTTTGCTATCTGGGGTGACAATAAGGCATTTAATGAAGTGATCATCTCACCAGCAATGTTGCACGAACACCTCCCATATGTGGTCATGGAAGGGCTCAACAAGGTAATATTGAGAATTGGGGTCTGAGGGTGGGGAAGTGTGATACAGTGGACTGAGCTTGAATGCAAGGGAGGCCTGGGTTTGGTCAGGAAAAACGTGGCATTGTGAGGTGAGCTGTAGGCACAATATCTACAGAGCCAAAACTCTGCATATTGGAGAGCCAGGGATACTCTGGGTGGGATTTGGGCTTATTAATTCTCACTGCAAGAGCACTTCTGTGCCCTTACATGAGGTATTAACGTGAGGTTGGGTGGTGTGTGGTTCGTCCTCTCAAAGCTGGCTGTTACAGCTTGCAGTTCAGGTGAAACGTTGTGAGCTGTGACAGCACTGGATGTCCATGCGTGCAGCTGCACAGGGTAGTTCATAAGTGTTGCTGCAGCCCCTGTTAGCCTGTGAAGTGTCTGAGTTTGTGTAGTGGTGGTGAAAAGGGTCTCTGCCTCTAAATGACAATTTGTAGCCATGCAGCTCTACCGCGAGTTTTAGCCAAGTCTACTGTGCTGTTCTGGTCTGAAAGCTGTTCCTGACAGCATCTTTGGTAATCTCCCCTCTCCTGGGTTCCCAGGGACATCCTGACAGGGTAGACTGCCAAAATATGTTCATTTAATCCTTTATGTCAAGATCTTTCCATGTGCTTGTGGAAAGCATTGGTAAGAAACACAGTGGCAAAACCAGCAGTTGAGAAGTTCTGAGCTGAGAAGAGTGAAGTTGCTGTCTCCACTGAAGCACTGCTGTTCCTCTGCTTGCCTTGCATAGGTCTTAGAGAATTACAACAAGGGGAAAACAGCCTTACTTTCTGCAGCGAAAGTGATGGTGAGCCCTACAGAAGTGGATCTCACTCCAGAGTTGATCTTCCAGAGTCAGCCCTTGCCTAGTGGACCCTCTGTGCAGATTGGAACTGGAGCCCTAACAGCGGACAGAAGGAACAGCAGTACAAAGTAAGAATTACATCTTGGATTTCATTGGAGGACTGTTGGCATGGGGTGTGGATCCTCTCTTGGGGTGTTGTGCTCAGTAGTATAGACCCAAGGACTGCCTGTGTGAGACTTCTAATTAATGTGACACAAGACATGATGAATCCAGGAGAAAAAAAAAAAGATCCCTTGTGTTGCTCAAGAATCTGTGAGTGCAGCAGGATCAGGAAAACCTAGGAGTTGAAAATGTGGAAGGTTCCTTTTCTTATCCAGACAAGTAGGCTTTTCCCTGGAAGCAGAAAAGCAAAGCTTGCAGTCTTGCAGCCAAATCTCTGTGTGAATGATGTGGCCAAAGATAGCCCATGGCACTGATTCTCAAAAGCTGTGAAGCGGTGACAGCCATAAGCTTACAGCACACAGACAGACATGTGAAGTTACTTTATGTAAAGTGACTTGCATAATTCTATAAACTGGAGAATCTGGGAATATGGATATGGTTGGGCAGGGTTACAGAACAACTATAAAAGCAATGTAACGTGAGGAAAGAGCAGCTGGTGTCCTGTTTGGCTCTCAGGAAGTTCGCTCTGGTGGAAAGCAGCAGAGGGAAAAGTCATGTTCTAAGTGCTGGAAGCATTCCTGTAGGGAGAGGTTTTTTTTATTGTCCCTGGCTATTGGGTACTGGCATTGTTATTCTGTCAAGGGCCAAAAGGTGGAGGTTCATCTAGGAGGTATACAAAGGATTGGTTTGAGTAAGACTTCCATCTTATAGAATACATTAAACTGCTTCCTATCCAGGAAAAAATGACAGGGAGACTCCCTGCTGGTTTTCAGGTAGCAACTGAGGTTTTGCAGGAGAGCACAGGTTTGTCTTTTTGGTTTCTTTCTGTGCACATTTTTTGTGTTTGAGACTTATTTCAAAATAGAACATGTGACTTCCACCACAGCGTTGCATTATAGAAGGCAAACCTGCAGACCAAATAGGAAAGTGAGAAGATGAGAGGGAAGGTAGTTTGTACTTGAAGATGGGAGGTACAATGAAAACAGAAAAACATTGTAAGAGGCATTTCTACCACTTCTGTAATCCAGTAAAGCTTTTTTTCTTTTTTTTTTTTGTAATACATACAAGCTGTTGTACCATTGATAATTTTATGAAGTGGAAACTGTTCTGCTTATATTCTTGTAGTTGATTCCTGTAAATATTCTTGTTCTACCCCCTGCCTCCATAAGAAGGTGGAGGTGCAGAATAAGCTCAAGATAAGATTTCCTTTGCAAGGGAAGGACTTCTAGAACAGAGATCTCAGGTAGAGACCCAACAAGAAACTGTGTGCACCTGGGTGAGGTGCTTTGAGTGATGCGTGGCTGAGCCTCTGTGAAGTAGCACAAGTGAAATGTAAATTTAAAAAAAAAAAAAGTCAGCAAATGATAGAAAAATGTTAAGGCTTTTGTTTGCAGCGAGAGTGGCCAGAGACAGCAAAGGAGAGCTGAGATAGCTGGGTGGAAGAGGAGGCAGCAGCAGCTTATGATGAAGACAGAAAGACATAAAACAGAAAGACAGAAAACGTGTAGGTCAAACAGCAGGGACAGGAGTGATGACTTCTGTCAGAGCAGACCGACTGCTTCCTTTAGAGGTGAGTGAAGGTAGAGTGGGAATCCTGAAGTACTGTTCTGAAGGGAATGGAGAAGAGGGCAGAGAGGTTTGTGGCAGTTGTTAAGGGAGGCAGAGTTCTAGCCAGATTAACTAAAGGTCAGAGCTAGTTTACTGCCTCAGACTTTCTCCTGGAGTTCTTGAAACCTCTTCTCAGAACATTACTGCTCCTGAAGATAAAAAATGCAATAGTGCATTGCTCTGGTTAGATCAGCGACACGTGACCTCAGTGTGCGTGAGGGAGTCTGTGCCTCAGGTTTGGTTTTGTGGCTGTTCTGGCAGCTTGTGGTTCTGAGGAGTGAAGCAGCCTCACGTTCTCTGCTTGTCGTTGCAGGAGCAAGTCCCAATCTGAAATCAGCTTGGAGGGGTTTTATGAGACAAAGCCACTTTCTCCTGTGCAGAAAGACCCTGTGGAGCTTCTTCTCCTGGACACAAAGGAACGTCTGTCTGTGGAGCTGCAGGACCGCCGTGCCCCTCTGGCGACCATGGAGAGCCTCTCTGACAACGAATCCATCTACAGCTTCGATTCGAGGCGCTCCTCTGGTTTTCGGAGCATCCGAGGCTCCCCCAGCCTCCACGCTGTCATGGAGAAGGATGAGATGCACTGCTTTTATATAGACCCCGCTATCCCTGAGGAGAACCCCTCCCTCAGCTCTCGGACAGAGCTGCTGGCTGCTGATAGCCTCTCCAAGCACTCCCAGGAGACTCAGGCTCCCGACAACGCACTCAACAGCGGTGGCACCACCCCTCAGCGGCGCTGCAGTGAGGAAGGGGCCAGCAGCGAGGGGGACCGCGTTTCCTTAGCCCCTCGTGAGGAGCTGTCCCTCCAGAATGGACGGCTCACCGATGTCCCCAGTCCGCAGGTGCTGGAATTTGCTGAGTTCATAGACAGCCTCTTTAACTTGGATAGCAAAAGCAGCTCTTTCCAGGACATCTACTGCATGATGGTATCAGATAGCTCCAGTGACTTTGTGGAGATGCCCAAGTCTGTTAGTGATCAGGAGATCCTGTTGAGAGCACAGTATGAACCCAACTTAGTCCCAAAGCCCCCGAGGTTGTTTGCAGGCTCAACAGATCCTTCGTCGGGCATCTCTGTCTCACCTTCCTTCCCCCTTAGTTCATCTGGAGAGCTCATGGACATCACTCCCACAGGCGTGAGCAGCCAGGAGTGCTTGGCCACTGACAAAATCCGGACTTCCACCCCCACTGGGCACGTAACCAGCCCTGCCAAGCAGGAGGACCTCATGATTTCGGCCCTCTAGTGCAGGGTAAAGGGGTGCGGCTCTGAGAGCTGATCCCATAGGCTGAGTGCTGGGATAATACTCGGAGAGGAGGTGGTCGTCAGGCAGTTGGAATTGGTGGAGACAGCTGGAAACATTCCTTCTGGGGTGACACAGTGGTGGCACGCCGCCTGGAGGATGGATTGTGCTCGAGTACCATGCTTATTGCTGGGAGAAGCATTGCCTCACAAGGCCTGCTACACTGAGAGGGTCTGAGTCACTAAAGGTAGATGCAAGTTCCCTACCTCAGCCTGTCTCATTCCATGTAAGAGGCAGATTCCTTGCCCCAGGGCACCTGCTGAGTTTGGGAGTGAGATACCCTGCTCCAGGGAATTCTCAAGGGCAAAGGGGTAGAAGTTTGAGAGTTGGATAGGCCAGATTCCCGCCTCTCCCCTCCCTTGGTAACATTTCAGTGGTTTTGGAAATGAACGGATTGAGACTTTGGGCCCTGTTGCACTACCATGTCAGATCTGGCCCAAGATCCAATTCGTCACACTTCCATGGGGATTGCCTTCCTGGGACACTCTCCTCTTTTAAAGCCATTGGGGCTGTATTCTCCCCAAATGCAGTCTCCCCTTCCCTGGCCAGGTGCAGCAAGAATTGGGCTGGCACTGTGTTATCTCTCCCCTGAGTACTTCTGTGTTCAATGACTGCCAGGCTGCTCCTGAGAGGAACGGAAACTGCTCTGAAAAGCCCAAAGCCCTCTGCCATGTCTCTCCTACACCAGAAAAGGTTCTCCTGGACATCACCGCCATCACTCGGTGGCCTGGACTGCTCTGAGCTGGCGATGCTTCTGCAGGACTGACAGCATTCTCATCTCAGAGCTGCACGGATGGATTGACTTAAAGATTCAAATGGCTCGTCGACACCCAGCGTTGCTTCCTAAGCACTCTAGGATCCCCTCCTGGACCCTACCAGGTCCTCATGCTACCCATATGCAGTCATCACAGATCAGTGCCAGCCGCTGTCATTGGGAGTTCAGGGAAAAGATGAACTTTTACTAAGTATTGGAACCTCTTGTATGTTTACAAAGCTGCTGAGCTTTTGGAAGGTATTTATTAAGCAAACAGGGAGGCTCTCTCTAGGCAAAAAGTATATTCGTTTTCTCCTCCCTGCGCCATTCCCTCTGGAGGCTGAGGGGAGAGAGGGTAAAAAGGTATGCTCACAAGTCTCCTGCTTTAGAAGCAGGCTGGGGTGATGGGGGGGCATTGGCTCTGAGTCTGGGGGGAGCTGAGTCTCTCGCCCGTTCTCCCTGATGCACAATGTGTGACAAAGCTCAACCAAGTCATTAGTAGGAGTACCTAGCACTGCTGTGCAGAGCCTCCATGCCCAGAGGAGCCTGCTGGAGCTACCCAAGTAGGGTATCTCCATGGTTTGAAGCAGGAAAGAAATTACCAATCTAGAAAGTTGAACATACTGTGACCTTGTGCAATCCTTTAACTGACAGAACGTTTTCAGCGGAGTTACCAATGCAGTCTCATTGGAGCTGTGTCCTCCCGCACTGGAAAAGAAATTCCTCTTTTAACTTCCTTCTAACACTAGGGATGTGACTCCCTCCTCCTTAGCTGTGGTATTATCAATGTAGGAAGATGCTGCGCTTCTCAGGAGCTTGGTTTGCAACAGTTCCTGGGCTCCTGTGTTCCCTTAGGCTCTGGCTGTGCTCACCAGCAGCCCTGGTTGTGGCTCAGGACTGTGCTGCCCTGGATGCAGCACAGGGAGCACAGCGGTGTCAAATACTGTCACATCAGCGCAGGAGCACTTTATAGCTGCTGTGTGTTGATGTCAGTAACTTCAGGTGCACAGAAATGAACTGGACTTTGTCCAAGTGCTGCTCTCCTGCTCCATTTCGTGTAGGATTCTGTATCCCCCTGCTCTTGAAAAATTACAGGGCCCTTAGAAATGCAGGGCTTTTGTTCAAACAGGCAGTAAAATGTTGTCCCTGTGCGTTAGATCCCAGAGGGGACCTTTTCTATACAGTCTTGATTTGGTGGGAAGAACCCCCTCTGAATTAGCTGTAATCTGTAAAAGATAAAAAAACACTTTGTTCCGAGCAACAGGTTGTTTTGCTAGTCCTTCAGAACACAGAAGTGTTCCCCTTGCTGGGAGGTGATGGTTCAGGAGCTCATACAGACAGCTGTGTAAGTGCCATCAGATCATCCACCATTGCAGACCACAGGGGAAGGCTGACTTGTGCAGGTAGACAAGAAACACTGCAAGGGTGATGTCCAGAAATGAGCACGTGGGTAGCTGTGAGGAGAAAGGGAGCTGAAGCACAGGGAGCCTGAAGCTAGCAGGCTAGCTCACCTCCTGATGCAGACTGCTGCCATGCACATACAGTGGGGAAAGGACTTTGCTTCTGCCTTTAGTTGTTGGCAGAAAGTGGGTAGTAAAAACACTTAGCACTTCGGCAGAGCTTTATATCTGCAAAGCACTTTACAGACATGAAGAAAAGAATCACCTCTGTCCCTGGCAGCGAGCTATTAGGAGATGTCTCTTTGAGACTGTGTGGAACTACTGGTGTCCTATCTGAGGGATGGTGAGGAGATGATGCAAGCTGAGAAAGGTGGATAACTTCCCTCTTAAGAACAAGTTGTTTCACTAGTGACCCGATGCTGAATGGCTCACAGTATTGCACTAGAAAGTCACTTCTGATCTGGATACCTCCCATATGTCCTGGAAAACAATCATGGTGTGACTGTTTCGTTCTCTGTGCCATTGGAACTGTGTCCTTAGGGAATGGGATGACCTTGCCCTGACCAGCTGTAGCAGGAGACAGCCTGGCATGCTGCATTCTTTTTTTGCTCTGTGCTCTGTGATTATTGGGCTTCTCTGAAAAGCCTGGAAATGCCTCATATTTGTGACCTGGCCTTGCCATAGACCAAGTCAAGGAGCAAAAGAGCCCTTCTGGTTAACGTTCTGACTGTATTGCATTATGGGTGATTCCTGTTTTTCCATTGCTCTGTTGACAAACAGATCTGTTCCCAGTCCTCACGAAAAGTCCTCACTGAGTAAATCCACATTCTTTGCATTATTCCTGCTTTCAGTGTCTGAGTGTCTTCATTCTTATCACTGCCGTGCTGCAGGAGCCTCTGGACAGGCTGGTCTCCTGTTCTGTCCTGGCAAAGTTGCAGACACATCCTAAATCTGTAGCTACATCACTCATTCGTACTGCATACTATTCTTGCTTTCTCTGCCCTCGCTCTGCTCTGACACACAGCTGTCTTTGGAAACTTGAAGCTGCTTCTGATTTCTTAATCTCTCAGCTTCTGCGTCCTGCCCTTAAGCTTTGTGCCTCTTGGAGTTTGTGCCTTCCACTGATGTTTCAGTGGGATGTCCCACTGCGTGTGGAGGCAGTGCTGGGAGAGCAGTTCGTGGTGCAATAGCACATCCTCAAATCTTCTGTCAGATTTGCTGGTACAGGTGTGAAGCTAAGACCACTAACGTCCAGCCCTGGAACATCCCCTGCCCCTGTCCTGAAGGTGTTCACAGGATGCAAGGTATTTGTCATCTGTTTTTACAGCCACAGGCTGCCCTCCAACCCATGGAAGTGAGTTGAAGGAGGCCCCTTTGATGATATTACAGTGCGTTTTGATAATCGAGCCCTTTGCACGTAGTGCTGGCTGAATTAGGAGGCTCTTCTGCATGAATAGCAATTGCTCTTATTGTTTTAATCACAGCAGTACCAACAAAGCAGGGTCCTGCTGTGCGAGTATGCAGAAGTACTGAACAGAAAGGCAGCTCTTCCCCAGAGCCTCACATTATGCCCTGTCCTCCACAGAGCTTCACGTGCGTTTTCTGTAGAGCTGATGTTCCCTCATCTCTGTGCTCCCTATTCCTGTTGCCAGGAGCTACCTCATTTCTTGGTTACCATCTCAGGATGATGGGGTGTCTTTGTGTGCATCCTGGGTAGCATTACCTAAAAAGCTGTCCCTGCAGATCTTGAGGTGACCCAAAACACGGGTGAATGGGATTCCTGATGCTGTGCATTGTCCCTGGATTCCTGTCCTGCTGCACTTCTGTGGCAGATAAAGCTATCAAGAAAGGTCATAAGTACTTTTGACACCAGGAGGCTCGGCAGATGCATCTCGGCATCTGTGGCTTTTGCTTACCTGGTTTTTGATCAATATTTCCAGTGTTCATTCATAATTTCTGCAACCTTAAGAACTGTTCAAACCACACAGGAGTTTTCTGAGATGTTTTGCTTGCTACAGAGGACTGAGGGGGCAAAGCTGGTAGTGAGCGTAGACATATAAATCCAGGGATCCCTGCTTATTTGCTTTTAGGATGTTGTTAGCTGAAGATCCCAAGCAGGAGCAGGACTGAACTGCTGCTGTCAGTGGACAAGGGCACCTGGAGGGGAAGAGCACCGAGGGTATGTGTTCCTTGAGGACTGTGTGCTCCTTGGAGATTCTCCTGCTATGGCAATCCCTCTTGGCACATGGTCTCCAGCAGAGAAAAACACAGCTGTTCACACAGCTGTTCTGTGTGAAGCCCACGGAACTGGGTGAACATGGTGCTGCTTGGGTTATTTGACTTTACCAGGTGTCTTTTTGATTTGTCGCTGCTCTAGGTTCAGTGATCCCAGCCTCAACGTGCTCTGAAGCTTCTTGTTTTTGATTAATACTGCTTCCCTCTTTTAGTCCCTGCTGCAGCCTGTTTTCAGGCTGGCTGATGAGATCTGTGCTGTTGATTTGTAAAATACTTCTTTTTCATATATTCTTCATGCACTTACCTCCTATTAATTGCTGCCAAATTGTGCGTGCCAGCATGTTTAGAGCTTTCCTTTCACAGCTGTTTCCCTACGTGGAGGACTGGGATAAGGCAGCTCAGTCTTTACCAGCCCCAAATCCACATTTTTTTGTCCCTTGTCATTGTATTGGCACCCTGCTGCTTGCCCCTTTCCTAGTATCCAAAGAGGATGCACGTTACCCTGTCTATGCAAGCAGTGCCTGGGTTCCTCTATGTGTTTTACAATTGAATAAATGTGTGTCTAGGTACAGAGAAACTTGCTGGGGTGTCTTTATCTGAGTTTATCTAGTGAGCTACAAGCTCCTGCTTGCTTCTGCTGGGCATCATGTGCACACATGAGTGCTGCATACATTCACCAGTGCTGGCCGTATCAAAATCTCCCAAGGACATTTAAGATCACTTGTAGCCCCAACAAACCCATCGGCTTTGCCATTTGCTTAATTATAGAATGATATAATTGGGTTGGAAGGGATCTTAAAGAACATCTAGTTCAGCCCTCTTGGTGAGGGAGCTTAAAAGCTCTTCCAGCTTTCCTCCCGTCTGTAGCATTGCACTTCTTTCTGCTTTAGACAGTCGAACTCTGAGATCCCCTCCATGCAGTCACTTGTTTCTGATCCCTTCTTCTCTTTCAGTTCACCCCACCAAATGTGGATTTTTGCCGAGCTGTTTTTTAACTATTCTGCTGCCAACAGAACTCCTCTGCACTTTAGGAAGCCCACAGACAAACTGTGTGATCCTCTTTCTAGTTGACAAAGCTTAGGGTGGGTAAATTTTTGTTGTCTGAATTCTTCCTTGGTAGCTCTAGAGAAGTGATACGTTAAAGAAGTACAAAGAGGTGGAAGGAAAATGAGTAGAATAGCTGACACTTTGAACCTAGAAGCTCACATTTAGAAGAGAGATTTGCTTCTTGGCAGGTGAGGTGTCAGTTTCAGAGCTGGATTTAGGCAAGAAGTGCATCTCTTGTGCCAAAGCTCCCCCTCATGGTGCTGCCGTATTGAGGAGGCTGTGCTCCATGTCGAAGGGGAAGTGTGAGAGGTGCCAGTGCTCAAGCGATACCCTTTTCCTCCTTGCTAGATCAGGAGTGAGCAGTGTTCCCTCCCAGGGGCAGTCCGTGCCCCTGGGAGGCCTGCAGTTCCAGCTCAGAGTAGGGCCTTTGCTGCCCAGCCAAGTGAGTCTTACACCTGGGAGAGGGGCAGAGCCCAGAACCAAACCTGTTTCACTTGTAAGATGTTGTTAGGATGGAGAACTGTTTTACAGAGAAGGTCAGTAGCCTGCAGTCTGCTCTGCAGAGCAGCAGTGCTGCTGACTTGCTTGTGTGGCTGCCAAACTTCGACTCTTTTCTTCACCATCTCCCTACTGTGTCTGTGCCTAGCACTTCCCTAGCCTTCACTCTTCGTGTAGCATGGGTGGATGCTGCCAGCCTCAGCTTTGCCTGCTGCAGGCACTGCACATTGGATGTGTGAAACAGTTGAGGAGCGGTTCCTTGTAATTCATAGCACTTTGCACTCCTGAAAGCACCAGGAAACTTACACTGCTGTCTACAAGCACTTAAGCTATCTTCATGGTTCATTTTGCTTGTTTTCTTGTGCCTTCTGTTTTCCCTTGGCTTGATGTCCTGCTTGGGGTCAGGCATCTTCCGGCTTCCTCTTCTGCTCTGCATGGTTTCTTCTCTGGCTGTATGAGTGGAGATGTGGCATGGCCAAGGACTGTGCTACAGGTACCCCTGGTACCTCTCTGGACTTGTCACGCTTCCCACTGTCCCCTGCACCCTCACATTGTCTCCAAGTGCCAACAGCAAAGCCTGACAAGCAATATTTTCTTTTCCCCACACTGCCCTTAATCCGTGGCCCCTCAGTTCTGGATCCTCCTCTTGGGCAAAACAGGTGTTTTCTATGCAGTAGGAGGGGAAGGTTTCTCAGCATTTCTTTCCTTTGGTTTATGTGACCTCAGTTGTGTTTGGAAGTTCCTCTAAGCTCTATCCACGGGTAAATCTCCTCTGCTCAAGATCTGACCCGTTTTTGCAAGGACCGATGCTGAAAGGGACATAACACGTTCTGAGCTGCCCCGTGCAGTTCTGATTTTACTGACGTTCCCAGGCTGGTTCTGGAACAGCCATCTCCCAGAGGTGTCTCTCTTTGGAGATCTGGGCATTTTTGCAGCTCTCATTGCTCTGTATGAGTCCTGACCTCATCACCTCATTCTGTGCTTTGTTTTTCATTTATGGAAGCTCCCCACCCACCCAGCACATCCGTACGATGAAGGGACCTTTATCTGGCTCCTTATTCCTGCAAAACCATTAAACACAGCAGCACAGAAACAAGCATCTTTCTTTTTTTGAAATGGGGATCCTACTGCCTTGCTTCCCATCCCTTTGTGCAGTTCTGATGGCTCAGAGTCGGAGGTACCCGGTGCACGTGGCAATACCGAAGCAAGGTGTATTTGCTAGCTCACTGCCACACACATTTCTGGGGTTTTCTCTCCTTTATCAGCATCCCCATAGTGCTCACTGGCCGCTGTCTGCTGGCCCAGGGGCAGCTGCTGAACCTGCAGCTTCCTAGCTTTCCTCCGCAGGCACTGCAGCGCTGGAGGTGATGTCCAGATAAGGTCTCAAGCTCGTTCCTCAGCGATAAACCTGGCTCGTGTCAGCACGGCGCCTGCACTCGTGGCGCGGTACGAGAGGAGCTCTTTACCCTCAAGCCCCCCTCTGTTAGCTCAGCTGTTGCTGCGCTGTCGTGCTGCGATGGCCACTTCTTACGCCTCTGCTCCATCGCGGAGCCAGCCGAACCAGAGGAGCCATGGGAAGCTATTTCCCTTCTCCCCGTGTTGTTCAGTGACAGCTGTGTTGCTGCAGTCCAGCTGCAGTCCAGCTGCGTGGCCTGTTTGTTGGTGGGGGCTCCACGCAGCGCGGCAGATGGTGACTTCTTTGCCTCCCCCTACCCTCTGTGTCAGCAGACGCCGATGCCTCTATGGAAAAAGTCACCTGTGTCACACCCTGTGACAGCTCATACTAGGGTGGCTATGAGTTTGCTCTTTGATCCCAGTTGCCTCTTTAGAGGTAATGCCTTTCATGCTCATGTGTAGAACGGCCCTTCTAGGGAGCTTTCTGCAGGACTCGGGGCACTTGTGTATGCAGTCAGGGGGGAAAACAGCACAGGATCCTGTGTTCCCATGCTCAGCTGAGAGATCACTGCCTGTCCCAGCAATGCTGCCCTCTGGATCCCTGCTCCGAGCTGCCCCAGCATGAAGACTACAAGGAAACTAAAGCACTCTTCATGTGCCATTCTCACTTGACTTTTTGTACGTATGTATGAAAGTTCTAAACTAATATTGCTGTAAAGAAAGATACAGATTAATATAGCATATTATATAAAGATATATGTATATAATTTTTTTCCCTATATTGTATGGCACTGTATAAAATGAATGTCGAAGCATGACTGGTGTATGTGACTGTTCCCAAGCCTGACCTGGGGAATGACAGCTGTGATTTGCCTGAAGTTTTGTCTCCAAGGGTTGTGCATGAGTTTGGAAGCCTGCACTGTGCTCTCTCATTGCAGTGGGTCGTGGTGTGAGGTGCTGCATCACTGTGGCTGCCTGGAGAACAATCCCAGTGCTGGTCTCCTTGCCAGCTCTGTCCCTTTTGGATCTCAGCCTTCAGTGCAATGGGAGAAACATCCCTACAGAGCAAAGGACACTGCTTTGTGTAGGTTTGTCAGGCAGGATATGAATGCCTGGTGCTGTTTATGGATGAATAATGCCGTAACCATGAATATTCTGGATGTAGGAAAGCAACAGAGGAGGAAGGAGAAATGAGGGAAGCTGGGGGAGCAGGGTCAGGACAGGAGCAGGAGCTTTCTGAGCAGCACTAGGAACGCAGGCTGGAAAAGGAATGCCTGGAAGAAAATAATGCTGTTAATCACTGCACGGAATAGTTTCTGGGGTTGTTCCTGCAGAGACTGAGTACTGTCAGGGAGTTAAGAGCTGAGGGGTGGCTGAACTACTGAGTTCCTATAAAAATGCCCGTAAAAAGTGCTGGTATGTTTAAATGCCTGCCTGACGCTTTGGTTTGGCTTTGTTTTGTTTTCCTACCCATAACTATCAGCTAGTCTCATAAAAAGATATTACTTCTATAAACACTTCCTCTCTCAGAGAGAGAAAACCATTAAACTCTGGATCCTACCCTTGTGTAAACACAAAATAATCCATGCTGTGGAGGGACTGTTCCAATACAGTTGCTAAGGAGGAAGCTTATGAATGCAATCCCAGCAGGCACTGTGGATGTCGCTTTGAGACCTGTTTCACTGTTGAAAGCCCTAGCAGGGATGGAGCTGCTATTCCCAAGACCACCCTCTGGCTATTTGGTACGATGGTGGCTATAGGAGGGATTTAGCAAGGATAGTTTTTCAGTTCCTTGGCCTTAAAGTACCACAGCAGAGGGTGCTGTGCTTGTGCTGGCAGTGCTGCAGGCACCCTCAGGGCTGGAGTAGTGCTGCCTGCCTGCTCCTAGGGCTCGCTGCACAGCTGGCCATACAAAAAGCCACGCTGCTGGAAGATCTCGAGCTCCGTAGGGTGAAGCTTGAGATGCGAGTGCAGCAGGAGCTCCTTTTCTGCCTGCTCAGCAGGCTTCTTGTGCTTCTGCTCGTGGCCATCCTGAACCCAGCACTGCTGGCTCCGGTGCTGCTGGCTGCAGCCATGAAAGCTGCCCCAGAATGCGTGTCCCTCGCTGGCGACCTTCCTTTATCCTTTTAATCAATGGTGGTGTTCTCTCCATCTTGGGAACAAACCTCTCGTAGTTAATGGATAACCAGGGAGAGATTTATCAGCATCGTTCTCTTGCCAAGAGGAGATAACCGAGCGAGCCCGCAGTGCCCTGCTTCCGCCTGCAGCAGCTGCCTTGGGTGTGGATGGGGCATCCAACAAGGGCGAGCCCGCATCCTCCGCCGCCTCCCTGCCTGCTGTCTGATTCTGGAGGAGGCACGCAGCCTCAGCACGGGGCTCTCAGAATAGAGAGGCTCGTGAGGATGGAGCTTGCTCGATCCACCTGCACTGCCTTTGTGGTGTGCTGGTCCCACACCTGGGAGAGCAAGGCGCCCGTGGGATGCGTTCCTGTATGGCTGGCCGTTGTTGAAATAAGCCAAGTAGGTCTCCTGCAGCTGTGTGATGTGGGACATCTGGCCTCCAAAGCATTGGTACTGTGGTTGTCTTTCCACCTGATTTTGCGGCTCTCCTGGGAATCGAGGCTCTTCACCAAGCATTTCTTCCATCCTTCGAGCCCCTTTAAGCCCCACTTTGTCTAGAAACTGGCAGGAGTTGCGTAATGCATGAGTGAGAGGCAGCCCAAGCAAGCAGAGTTTTGTTCAGGTGGCTGCACTGCTTTCATTCTGAAATGCCTTCGTTTGGCACAGCTGGCAGGAGGATCCCAGAAAAACCATACTTGCTGAGGGGGGAGAAATTGCAGCAGCATTTGAGGCAAAGAGAAGAGAAGTTGTAACGCAAAGAGAAGTTGTAACGCAAAGCTGAAAGCTGTCGCGCAGCTTTGTGGGAACCCACAAAGAGGAGAGAATGCAGCATCTGCAGGAGGATGAGGCTGTTCCCAGCAGGCAGGCAGGGAGCAATCTAGGATGTACCTTACACATCTGTGATAACCCTATCAGCAGTGTTGAAGCTGGCGTGGCCAATGACCCCAGAGTGAATGACTCTCCTTTGTACCGTGCTGATGAATATCCCAGCAGCATCCTCTCTGCTCCTGCTCACTTGTCACCACGAAGGGTCTGAGGTTTTGGAGACCAAAAAGTCCCACCTGTGTTTGAGAACACAGGGTGAGGGGTGGGGGGCACTGAGTTGTATTTTGGGTTTCAGCTGAACTTTGGAATTTAGTGCTGGAGGGAGCTAAAGCCGCACCTTCCATGAGTAATATTCTTCCACCCCCTCCTTGGCTCGTGCTGCCAACCAGCCCTGTGGCATAGAGAGAGTAGAGTGTGCAGAGAGGGTGAGCTGAGGGAAGGGAGAAAGGGGTTCTGTGTATCCCAGCGAAGGAGTGAGGGCTGCCCAGAGAAGCTAGGGCTGCCTCATCCGTGCGTGAGATGGCCAGGCTGGATGGGGCAGCCTGATCTGAGCCCTAAGGCAGGGGTTGAGGCTGGAGGGGCTTTGGGTCCCTTCCGACCCAATCAGTCCGTGGTCTTTAAAGACCTTTGGGGTCCCTTCCAACCCAACCGTTCTGTGATCTTTGACGTCCCTTTCATTAGCTCCAGGAATGAGACTGGGATGAGAGCAGTCATTCCCACACTCTTGAGTCCAGTGGGGTTGTTTGTTGGGGTCAGGAGCCTCAATTCTGGGCTCTGTCACCTGTTGCAAGCCTTGGGCTCTACACTGAATGCAAATTTCCACAGAGCAAACATTTTGCTTCCTTCCCACGCAGCCCGTACCCAAAGCTGGTGGGGGGGGTGTGAGGAACAAGGGCTGCGGGGCAGCAGAGAATAACAATTGTCTTAAGGGAAAGAGGCAGAGAGGAGAAAAAAAGGGCTGTTGAGCTCTTTCTTTCCATCCCTGAAATAATAGACCCATTACTGTCCCCAAACCTCAGCCCCCCTCCCCTCCCCGGAGAAGAATTGGTCACTGCACAGCTGTGCGAGCGAGAAAAATATATTTATATATATCAGAGAATCTGCCCTTCTGAATTGGTGCGCGGGGTCGGACAAAACCTCATTGTGCGCTTTATCTGCCCCGCACAGAATGGCCCCACAGTCTCGGGCTGGCAGGGGCTCGCCTTTTGGTGAACTGCGGTCGGATCGCTGTGACTTCCTTTAGATACCGTCCCGTTATGAGGGGGCGGGGGGGGGGAAAAGGCCAGAAAACACCGCCGACCCACAAAACACCGCCGACCCGACCCTCGTCCTCCGCCCGCCGGGCCGTGACGAGCATCGGCCGGGAGCGGCGCGGAGCCGCGGGCCGCCGTACGGAGCGGGGCCGCCCCGCCGCGCTGCTCTCCGCGGCCGGCAGGGGGCGCCGTGCGGGGCGGGGCGGGGCGGGGGCGGAGCGGGGCAGCCGTCGCCGGAGGCCGGTGGGCAGCGGGCGGCCGCGCTCGGCGCCGGCTGCGGCTCTGGGCCCCGCGCGGAGCGGCCGCGGGGGCTGTCCGTCCCCCTGCGGGCTCGGCTGTTAGCCCGGTGCATGGCACAGCTATGGAGGTGGTGGACGAGACGGAGGCTCTGCAGCGCTTCTTCGAAGGTACGGCGGGCGGCGGGGAGACCTCCTCTCTTTCCTTTCCCTTTCCCTTTTCTCTTCCTTCCTTCCTTCTTTCCTTCCTTTCCCTTTCCTCCTTCCTTCTTTCCTTTCCCTTTCCTCTTTCCTTCTTCTTTCCCATTCCCTCCTTCCTTCTTTTCCTCTCCATTTCTTCCTTCCTTTCCTTTTCTCCTTCCTTTCTTTCTCCGTCATTCTATTTTTCTTTCTTTCTCTTTTTGTCTTTTCCCTTTTTTCTTTATTACTTTCTATCTCTTTCTCCGTCTCCCTTTCGACCTAAAAATGTCTTGTCCACGTAACAACAGAGCGAAGAAAACCAGGGCTGAAGGATGTTTCTCCATCTCTGCTCTTTGCTTCCTTTGAAGAACATTGAGCAGAGTTTTTTTGCAGAGCCTAAAGCTGCTGTTTGTTTCCCTTGGTCATCTGCATCCCTTTGGTGCTGTTGTTCAGGAGCATCTGTTATAACACAGTGTTGGAGAGGAGGCGTTTGAACGCAAAAGTGGAGCCCATCCTTTGCTCTGTGGAGGTGACAGGCCTGTAGTGCCTGATTTTGCAGAATGGAGATGGATCTTCCCTGGAATCTGCATGAACTGGAGGGCTAAATGGTTTCTGGGTGTTTAATGCTGGTCTGTTGGAGTTCATTAATTTATGGGGATAAAGTAGAAACACTTTGTTGTTCCTATGTAACAACTTATTTAAAGGTATCTGCAGTTTCCTTTCCCACGTGTGGGGAAAAAAAAGTGATCTTTTTTATAGTGGAATCTTTTTCCTTCTCTCGAATGGAGATTTCTCCCCGCACTGAAAGCCCTGAAATAAGGAGGGAATTCCCTTCCGTTTGCTTGGTGTGGCTTTGCACAGGATCCGAGCTGGCATTCAGTATTTCAGCATCGTCCCCTGGAATGTGGTTCCTGCACTCTGAGATCTGAGACTTGGAGAAGGACGGCAGTGTGAGAAGCACAGGGCTTCGCTCTGCGGCTGAGGAAGGAGTGGGGAAAAGCAGAGAGCAGTGGGGCACAGCGTGGCCGGGACGGAGGGGTGTGAGGTTGGGAGGAGAGCGCGCA